CACATAGCACAAATGAAGGGTTCATGCTGAGGATCGGTTTTGGTTCTTCGTGGTTCTTCATGGTTCTCCATTCCATTGACCAAGGTCCTCCGCCCAAGGCAATGGAGCAACGTTACATGCGGTCCAAGGACTGCCTTTCATCCAGTTGACACACCTCCGAGTTTTGGAGGCTTCAAACACGCCTTGCCGTAGCCAATTGACAACTAGTTGTTCTCTCCGTGTTCATCCCAAAGTTCAGTTTCCAGACAGTCGAATTGAAACTAACGCGCGCTGATGGCCAGCCAAGCCAAATCTGTGCGAAACGGAAAACAACGGAATTTTATGGGACATGTGTCGGCTGACGGGCAGATGCGGCAGACCTCAGATTTGGATAGATTTGGGAGGTGCGACAGCAAGCTGCCCTGCCCGAATTGGTTGTGGCCGAGGCGGCACACCGTTGCTCACGGCGGCCAACGAAGGGCACCAGACATGTGTGGATCGGCTCCTGCAGGCCCAGGCGGCTCTGGACGCAACCTGGCTCGGTGGGGGGCCCTGGAGACCAGGGCGGCTCGCTGGGACTGGACCGGAGGCCGTTTGGATGGAGGTGCAGCAGCGCATGACTTGTTTCAATATTGCGATCTGGAGCTGGCTCCATTCTGGACACCAAGTGCAGGTTCCATCCAGGTAGGTTGCTGCTTTTGTTACATTTGTTTCCCCGGTGCCCATGCCAGTTTTTAGGCAGCAGAATTGTGGAGTTCACGCGTTTGCAATCGTTTGCAAAGAGTTGGGCGCTCTTCTCAGTGATGGCTACACAAAGGTTGGCCCTCAAGACCCAGTGTTGCAGACAAGTCGGCCAGAGTAGCTTTTGCACAATAGCTTGGAGGAACGTGCACCTGAGGGTATGCCACGAGCTTGCTGTGCTTTGCTACAGCTGTCGTTCTGAGGCAAGACTGCATTGGACTGTGCCCGCGAAAAGGGCCACACGGGCATTGTTGATCTTTTCGCCAAGGCCAAGGCCCCTTGACAAGAGAAGATAGCTTGCACGTTCAAAGCTTCTAAGCTTGCGACGCCGAGCCAAGGGTGCAAGGAACTTAGGCCGTAGGCCAGAACAACTCCGTGTGGCACATTCTAGACACCGGCTTGCTTCGAAGAAAACATAGTCCTGCTGGCAGGCGGTGGAACATTATGTAGGGCAGCACTATTGGGATTTTGGATAGAATTGGGGAAATGACCAACAGTGACACAGTGACACTCCCATCAAAAAAGCACAAACAAAACGAAATGGCACAAATTGTTAGAACACTTGTTGCACTACTGAAGGTCCAAAGTGGCAGGCAAACACATGAAGCGGCAGTTTTTTTTCTCAGAAAACGACTAAACAAGCGACGGAAGTTTCACAAAGCGACAGCAATTGTACATACTCGGGTGATGTACAACATGCCGATGGTTCCAACTCTGCGTTTTATTGGACGCCCATCCCTCGGCCTCCACCAGAACTTAACTTCACAGACGGGATTAGGTTCAGAACTCAGTTTTTCACAGGAAGCCGATGATTATCCGATTTTCTCCATGTGCCAAGAAGGCCAGCTCAACACAGTTCCAGTTTTGTGCACAGTGTGTGGCTACGAGTGACTAATAATTTTCCGTTCGGAAGCAGAGGTCTTCAAGGGAGATGTGTTCAATTCGGTCAATATACCCCGCGCCTCTCGCAACCAGTGTGTGGTGGTGGAGCATTGAATGATGGCGGGCGTTCAGAAGCTAGAATAAGATAATGTCATGGTTCATCAAAACTCGCTCTAAATCACCCAGTCATTGTGTGAACACCTGCAGCAAAAGGCCACAGGCGATGTGTGTCAGGCCGCAGCATGTCAAGCATGGCCAAGAAAGGCCCATATTCCATGTCACTTCGTATGTCAATGTCCGGCAAATAAGGATGTAAACGGATAGGGCCGAGGATTGCAACAATCATGGCTCAATCTGTTCACACATGCCATTGTCTCAAACACCGTCAGCGACTGCAGCGCATCACCAGCTGGCCAACCCTGGGGGTCTCCGCCATATCGAATCTACAGACTACCTCCCTCGCGGCTTCGTTGGTATGGCGAAAGCTTACTGTGAGTCGTGGTGTTGCAAGCGCCGCTGGTCAAAGTCCTTCAGGCTCAGACCACTCAGCTCGAGCAGTGAATCAGCGAGACTCGCGGTGGTGGAGTGAGGGCCAGTTCCCTTCCTTAGTAGTTCAACGTGAGCATGCATGGGCGCTTCGAGGCGTTCATGCCGAGCCTCTTGGCGTCGGCACATCAAATCTTCCAAGGGCTCTTATTACAGCAGGCGTTACCTCCCAGCTCCCATGCCCTCCGCGCCATAAGATCCATCACAGCCACGACTTGCTCACCCACAGGGTCATTTCCCGACCGCAAGTTCGGAAACGCTTCATTGCTGCCATGTCCCCATGTTTCTGTTCTTCCGTGTGTTCTTTGTCCTGCTTTATTTCGTTTGTCTCCACCTGCCTCTACACACCCATATGCCACCTGCATTGGGCAACCTCAAAACCCGAGACTGATTTGCACCCCTTCCTTTCCTCAGCTTTTCTTTCACAGTGCTGCAAGTCATGCACCCCTTCCAACACCAAGTGGTGGAGGATTCGGGGCCAACAGAAACCATAGCCATCCGGCCAAGCAGCTAGCAACTCTTGGCAAGAGTGGATTTGCCGCAGCACTGCTATGTCGTTTTGTGGATCCTGATCCAAGTCCTCAACCTCTGAAGCCACAGCTCACGGCTGACTGGATGAACCCTTTGCAGGGGGGACTACCAGACCTGTGCAGGTCGGTGAGGTGGAATTTGAGGAACTTTGAGACGATGTTGCACGGTGCCACTTGGGCGCTTCCAGTCGAGTCCGAGCTTCTTCAGAACGTAAACAAACGCATCACAGTGCCTTGGACGAAGTCAGATAGCCACTCTGGGAAACGAAGACACATTGACATGAAACCTTCATCACCCAAGGCCACACGCTATGCTGGGACTTGGGAACTCTTGTGCCGACCTCTTAAAGGTCGGTGCCGCATGTTGGGGTTTGCAAGACTTCCTCGCCTTTAGCTTGGACAAGTTGATGGTTCGAAGTATTGCTCTGGCCATATATAGTTGCCCTCGTCAGCTTCTGCACTTGATCTTATCGCGTTCAAGCCATTTTTCGCTCGAACTCTCATGGCTTTTCTGCTCCGACCTTCGTAGGCATTCCGCTCATGCACTTCGTAGATTATTTCTTCGTTGATCTTCGTAGATCTTCACAGCTCCTGCTCCACCCACTCCATTCTCTCGGCCCGAATTACTTACTTAGAGCATGCATATATATAATCATATGGTAATATATACACTGGCATGTGTTTTTTCCTGGCGCTTGGTCCCGTGACACCTCGAATGGCCGGACCAAGCGACCGGGCCCCTCAAGTTGCAAGCTTCAGAAGACCTCTCATAGCTTACAACCAGAAGAGGTTAGCCAACCTGACCCAGGACCAAGGGATTTTCAAGCCTCGGACCAAAAGCACCAAATGTCCTGCACTTGCTCCGGATGTTTTCGAAGATTTTGTGCATTCCGCCAACGCCGCATTGCTTTGCCCTTGGCTAGGCTGCCTTGCTTTCACCCATGCGCGGCATAACCATAGTGTCGTTTGCGCTAGGCTGTTCGAACCTGTGCGACAAGCAACCCTTGAATGGAATTCAGTACTTTATCGATCGATTTGGCGTTTTCTGTCCGCTTGAGGCTGTCAACGTTCGGGCAACGCACTGGTATCCCTTTTATCGACATACTGTTTTTCAGATGATCCAGAGCTGCATCACGGATGATTATGCCGAAGGACCGCGGATGGTCATTGTACTGCAAATATGGGCCCAAAGACAATACCTGGAGCCATAATTACATGTGCATTCCATGAGCCTAAATACTGAGACTATAACTCTATAACCATCAAATGTCCCACACATTGTAGATTGCAACGATTCCATGTCACTTGAGTCAGAAGTTTGGGCCCGAGGTTGTTAGCAGTGTGACCTGATGTTTCAGCCCGTGAGGCGTCGTGCTGATCGGAATCCAGCCGACGATCGACCGCGCAATGACCTGCGCGGAGTGGCCCAGCATCCAAGAAGATGTGCCAGAAGCTCAGGTTGTCCATCGAGTCAAGAGCTATGGCCAAATCAGTCACACCCAGTCACCCCAAACAGTTATTATTCGAGATGAGGACATCAGCACTTGCCACCAAATTATATCAAATTGAAGGCTCCAGGTCCTTGCTCCATGGACCTGCACATAATGGACCTGCACATTGGCCTTCTTCATGGGCTGAGGAGGGAGGCCTTCACGGAGCAGAAGTACCCCTTCTACCAGGGTGGCGTGAAGAAACTGGAGTTTGAAAAGATCACCTTCAAACGTGTTGAGCTTCAAGACCTCGGCGCCTCGGCCTTGCGCAGCTGCAGCGCGCCGTGGTGGCGTTTCGTTTTGTTGCCGCCGAGCGTTGACGAGGGAGAGCTCGAAAAAGGGCTTGAGGATGATCGACCCACCTGTTTACAGATTTCATGTAATTCATCGATTCCCTTGAAACGCGTATATGCCGCGGTGATTGGAAGCCTTTATTATATGCAGGGGGGAAATATTGTTTGAGGCCGCAAATGCAGTCAGTCATTCTGCACTTCAGGCGTGTCAATCGACTGCATGTGCTCATTTTGTTTGGGGCAATTTTTGAGACAAAAACTCTTTCATAACAGGGCTTGGGAAAGGAAAGGTGGGAAATGAAGACATCGGCATGAAGGAACGAAGGCGTGGAAAGAACTCTGAGAAGGTCGACGTGACTAGACTCTAGACATTCTTGACCATGCTCAACTGCTTCTTTTCTTTCTCGGATCACGGCCCCAAGGAGCGGAGATCCACGTGAGCACCATGCGCAACAAATTCGCCATCATTGCGAGTTGTTGCGACACCGACTTCGACGCTGCAGCCACAGCCATGCAAGTGCACAACAAGGCCACGCCCGAAGGGCATGGAAAGGTGCCAAACTTAGCATTGAGCCCAAGCCCGGCGGCGCGAAGAGCAGTGAGGCGAGGAGCCTCATGTGGACATGTTGTGGACATTCCTCCCCTTAATTTGCAGGCCTTCACTCGGACTGGGCTTGGTCTGAAAACTTTGAAGCAGTTCGTAGTCTAAGGGAAACTGGAAGGGAAGGGCAGGTTGAAAAGAGTTGGACACTCACCTCTCCTTGGTTCTCCCAGCTGTGTGTGTGTGGCTCAAACGGGGGGTATGCCAAACCCTCCCTGTTCGAGCAACGAGTTGCTTCTTCACCTCGGAGCTTTGTTTTGACCACTGGGGCGAAAATGGCTCTCAAGGTGCGCAGAGCATGGGCGACGGCGGAGGACATGTACGGCAGAGGAAGCCATCCCTAGGACCTAGGAGGACTGTATGCCCAGGGCGTCGGTGGGCGAGTGGTGTTGTTGTGTTTCACCAAGCCTCGTTTTATTGGTTGTAACGATTTTGCCTTAAGATGCCTCGGTTCGTGCCCAAGTGCGTGTTGCTGAGGACTTCCGGTCCGCCATTCCAAAAGCAGGGAACTTAGAGAGCTACTGTAAATCTTACTTGCATGTGAGCAACGCATATTTGCAGAATGTTTGTTCTCTTGAAGATCGTAGCGGTGCATATTTGTTGTGAGCAACGTCAAGGAATCTTGCAGTTTGTGGGTGATTTAGTCGCCCATAAATTGTTTTCTGGGTTTGTGCCCCTTTGTGAAGCCAACGGTAGCCATTGTATCAGGCATTGTCATGTATGTTTTATTTTTTTGACGTGGTCTTTTTTTTCGATTTCTGATTTCTGTTTGCTCAAGAGCCGTCAGATCGCAAGGTGGATATTCAGCTGAGCGTGTGCAATTGACGGGCTTCAGCAGTTTCACCGTTATCTCCCTGTTTTGGCGTTCCGATTGAATTGGCAGGACATGCCCTCTTGGGCATGGGAATGCTCTTGCACCCAGAGTTGAACATAGTTGAACCAAAACAAGTCCAATTGGTTTTATATAATCACTCTTGAAAGCATTACCCGTTACCCTGAACTCACGGAGATTGCGATGCCGTGACAGCACTGTTTGAGAGCTCACCAACTGTCCGATGCCAAGACGGAGGTCCGTAGTTAGATTAATTTATTGGCTGATTTAACCCAGTTGCTCCGGCTTGCTCCATTTTCTCCTGATATTTGCGCAGCACAAGGGAAAGTTGAGGGGACGTTACGAAGGGATGCGCAGTTGCGGCCACAATGAGAGTGCTCAACAGATTGCTGGCTTGCGGCTGTTGTGTCCGACTTGTGCGCACCCTCCTTGAAAGGTAGGAGAATGTTTTCCGCCATTTGCTGTTTCGCTTTGCTTAGCTTAGCTTTGTTAGTGTGCGATTGTCAATTCAATTGTCATATGACATTATACTATAAGGTTCTACTCTGTTTTTTTTTTGGGGGGGTTTAAGTTTAAGTGATAAAAGAAGCCCCCAGTGCTTCTTTTGCAAGACGTGGCTTTCAACGAGATGGTCACCTGAAACAGCCACACCCAGCACAGCGAGCTGATGTTTTTCGCTCCAAGCGATACAATAATTTAATATAAGTATATATGTGCAGGACCAGATTGACCATGCAGCTATAGTACTAATGTCCTCAATTCGGAACGCACGGAAACGCCTCTCCGCTGAGTACGTCTTTGGTCTTCCCGGCGTGCCATGGTTGCGATGCGTGGCAAACGCGATGCGTTCGTCCTCGTTGCCGCCACCGGGAAGGTGCGACGAGAGGGGCGGGGCTGGGCCAAGTCGGCCAGCAGAGGAAGATTTGGACATGTGCGGTGGTGATGTTATATGAAAAAGAAGAAGGTTTAAGTAGCTCTATTGTTACTAGTAGTAAGGCCAGGAGCCCCTAGTAGCGTCCTTGCTCCTAGCAGCGATATGTGGCAAAGCATGGCCTTTTTCTTGGGGTAGATTTTGAGACGCCGGGGGTTGGACTATGATCTCACAGATGATTTCATTCCCTTGGATCGGCAGGGTAGTTTGCAATAGATTATGAGGCCCCCACTGTATGATGTCACGTGACGTTGATACTCCAACAATGGCTGGAAACCACTGTGATTCTATGTTTCAGCATTCACCACTTCCGACTTTGGGTTCACATTGCAACGGACATGGAGGACGCGTTGAGGAGGTGGACAGTGGCAGTTGGAAAGACAATTGTCCTCCACAAACAGGGGGTTTTCCACTTCCACGTTTGTTGGAGGGAGGGTAATAACCTTTGCACTGCATCAGAAGAAAAAAAAAGCATGAACAAACACTACGAAATTACGAAATATATGAAATGTTATATGGGGCACGCTCAAAATTAATTAGTGTAAAGGCAGCTCTTTTTGGATGTCCCTTTGAATTTGGGGAAGTGCTCGAAACCCTGTAGAGCGATAGGGGGCTCACAAGAAATGATAACCATGCACTTATATTTCTGTGACATACTTACTATAATTCTTGAATTGTGCCGTGTGTGAGTGTGCTCAGAAAGATAAAGATAGCAGGAACGACAACAGAACGAGAACCACAGGAATCTGCAGAATCCTAGCATTGCCTCGGGAAAAGTCTCGGGAGACCAATCCCCCAGGCGAGTGACCCCGAAGACTTGTCCGAGCGAAGACTTGCAGTGGCATGCTAGAGAGTCCCTGTGCAAATATTGTAGGACGATAGGGTGCCTCACTAAATCGCTAGGCGAGAAGAGGACATGTAAATAACTTCTGCACCGTGACCGTGGCTCTATGGAAGCGAACGAGTTGTTCAGCTATCCACCGTGCAAGGTTCCAAAGGGTGTCGACCTCAACCGGTCGGCACACTTCAACCGACCAGTGACGACCGGAACCCGATGCCACGGCAGGCGCCCCCATCCTGCTCCGATGGTGCGTGGGGTGAGGCGAGCGCCGGTGGGACGGATTTGGCTCCGTCTCTGGGTGTCACCAGCATGGTGAAGAGTCGGGTGAGTGGGAGGTAGTTAGTTGCTGTATGGCTTTGATCACACCGTGGGTTGATTCATGGCAATAGAGCGGCAGGATTATAGGGGTAGGAGCAATAGCCTGGTGAAGCACAATTAGTGAGAGAGGAAGACGCCGCGCATCACCTCACTTTTAAACTTTTGCTTGGCCACGAGACCTCCCCAGCCGCTCCGCCCGGCCACTTGGGTGACGCGGAGCGACCTTGAGGCCCTCCAGCGCTCTCAGTGCTCAAAGAAGTGCTCGCCACTTGGAGCTGCAGTTTTCGCTCGGAGCGCGGCGGGGGGCGCGGAAGATGGCGGAAGATGGCGGAAGCAGCGGTGGTTTGGTCCAATTGTTCTAGAGTGGTCCTGCCAGTTGGTTGAGGACTAATTTGGAGTATGTTCAATTGGTTGTTCTTTTTTGCCATGTCCCCATGATTTGGTGCCCACCCGAGATGCTACTAAAGTATACTATAAAGATACTAAAGTGAAGTAGCATAAAGCAACTGTTGGGACTCCTGCTCCTGTGCTCACATTGTACTTGAAAACCTGTCTTTCCGTGTTTCTTCGGGGGCGAGGGCCCCCGTAAGTCCAAGAGCTCGGTGCCACGCACGAGTCCCTGTCATCGGCGGAACTAAGGACTACCACCAGCGCTGGGCCAAAGCCTCAGCTTGTGGTGGCTCCAGCCGCTGGGAGTGCGGGGAGCTGTCCTTAATCAGTCAGGGAAGGAAGTCTATCCAGTGAGGCTTGCGTCGATGCATTCGGCTCACAAAGTTGCAAGAGATCGTCCCATGGAACACAATCACGAAGTGGCAGCCCGCCCCCCATCTTTGGATCACATCCGATTCCGCACCTTTGCCCCTCCACAACTCGCGCGGCACCCGCCGCGCGGACGGTTCGGTCGCACCAGAGGCTCCAGACCCACGACGCCTGCTTGCAGCGATGGCCCGTGGGGAGTGCCCAAACGGGTGGTGGCCGGGGGTTGGGGGTGTGAAATGGAAGCAGGGCTGCAATGGTGCCTCATAACGTCGGAAAGTCATATGTCACGTGGAACATACATGTACATATGTTACATGTCTTGTGATGTAGGCCTTGCATGATCCTTTTTCAAGTCAAGCCCCTTATAGTCAAGACCGCCTGGCCTGACCCTGGAATCGAGCAAAACACTCAAAGTGGTTTGTCAATGTGCTAGAGAAGTCAAGTAAAGGAGGCGTTTGGCTGATATGTTTTCTCAACGGGTGTGCCGCATGGTTCAAAGCAAGAGGCGTTCATTGCTTGAGCTGATGATCTCCAGTCAGTGCAACGCCGAGGCCTGTCCTGGCCATTCGTGGCAGCGGCACAGGTATACCTCCGTTACACCCTGCCAGGGCATTTCGCCGCATTCTGGCCTCGTGACATCCCAAAGAGTCCAAGATCTTTGCCCCTGAGTCACTCCCTCATCCTAGAGCCCCTGAGTTTGTTCTCGAATGAGGGTGCTTTCAGCGGAGTGTCACGACCCCACTGGTCATAAAGAACGGGTTTTGTTATCCCTGAGAGTGTCAGTCCAAATGATTCATTTTGCCCTTATTTTTCGGTACTGGTGGATTATGACTGTCAGGTGGGAAAGTTCATGAGTAAAAGGGAAGATCTGGGCATTCTATACGTATGGCCCTGTTCTTGGTTCGTGCCACCGTTGAGCAGGTATCGGTCCCATTCGGCCTAAAGAAAGGTGAGAGGGTCTAAGACTTGAACGCTTTCCACTGGCACGATGGTTTTGATGATGGTTGGGTGGTCCCTCAGCAGTCAGTGGTTATCGAGAAGACATGCTCTTGCCGGTACTTCTCCATCTGATAGTGGAGTAGAGCACTGGATTTTCCTGTGGAAATGGATGGAAATGGGCTTCACAAGTGGTTTCGCAGTATGCAATGAATCTAAACAGAGTTCCATCAATTTAGTAGAACAGTGTCCCAGGGAGTACCCTGCTTCCGTTTGTTCTGAAGGTCGTGTTACGCTGCTTGTGATCGGGTTCAATGCCACAAGCTGGCTTTGTACGGATCCATTCTGGCAACGCATGTGACTCCGATCAGGGCGATGTCATATTGATGTATCGGTGTCCTTTGCTGGGCGAAACGGCCTTGTCACGGTGAACCGTTTGGGGGTTGCAACTGAAAGTGGTGCCGACATCTCTCATTCACTCCGGGCTCAAGCTCCGTTTTGCGACGCCGGACGCCCGAACGTCGACTGGACCCCCGGCCCCCCGACAACTCCCTGACCTCCGCGGGCGGCGCGGGCGGCGCGTGGGGCGCCGCACGGTGGATGGCACTGGGAGAGTGAAGTTTGCAAGGTGCCCCCCGCGCCGGGTGTGCGACGTGGGTTTTGGGGGACGCCCCCAACCCCCAAACGGTATGTTTTATGTTTCACATGTGGATGTTTGTTTGCGCCGCAATGTATAATGTCTCAAAACTATGCACTTGAAAAGAACAGATTGAAAAGAACATAATATTGACATATATTGACACATTATTCAGACAATGATCCTATCAGAGTAGCGTATCCTTTTCGTGCGGTTTAGGTTTCATAGGTGGCGAGCATGTATGCATGCTTTGTACCAAAACCACTGGTTGGGTCTTCAGAAAAAAGAACTGTTCCAGGCCATGGGGGTTTCGGGACGTCCCAAGAGTTTCTTCTTGCTGCACAGCTGGGGCCCTGCAGAGATGTTCGGCTGGCAGGATCTCTTCAGCATGCCGATGAATCGCAGTGTCTCTGGTCCCTCGTTTTCCACCAATAGCCGGCTCCTGAGATCTATCAAGAATCAAGACAGGACGTGATCAGGTGCTGAGGGAACTTGGGGAGGTTATAGAATTACATAAATATAGACCTCCTCGGAGGACAAATATGTGAATAGTGATGCCCTTCGTCAGGTGCTTTAGGTTTCGCCATCCCCAAAGAAGACATATCATCGGTTTGAGCTGTCTTTCCGGTTGATTCACTCCTGATAGTGATATGTTGGCAGATGGGCATAGAAGTGAAATAATACATGGGAATGTATCCATATCCTGTCCAGTTGCCGTGCTCACCCCCACCAAGGTATGTCTAGCGGGTAACATGTCCTTTTCCAAAGGTCTGCAGTCAAAAAGCCGAAGCGAGCTGGAAACATGTCAAAACACAATCATCAATCCACGTTGCGAGTTTGCCGGTTTTCGGTTTTCGTTCCCTTTTTGGGATCCCTGCCCCTGAGGCCGATCGCAGCTGGCGAGTTGGTCGCAGAATGCCTCGCGTCTCGGTGATGTGAGAAAGGTTGGATAGGTCGCGAATTTGTTGGACCTCACTTCGATGACGATAGAGAGAGAGAGACGAGAGATCACTGATTGACAGGTGATTGACGGGCAGAGAGTGATAGATAAAAAGATGATTAAACCTTCAGTATAGATGACTGATGATAGATGTTCATGTATAGTAAAGACCTGATTTGCATCAGTAGCAAGCCGAGTGAGACCTGCTTGTACGATGGCACGCTTACACGGTTCCAAGTGAGCAAAAGATGTGCCTTCTCAGACTCTTGCACGGAGACACCGCAAAAAACAGGGAGTTCGGCCGAAAAGAGAAAAGCCTTCAGGTGCAGCAGCCCTACCTTTTTTGCCACGGCTCTTTGTCCGCCGTCCGGTTGGTCCGGTTGGTCCGTCATGTCTTGAGGATCGACTTATCCACGGTGGACCGGGAGAGTTTACCCATCGGCGTCTCCAAGAGCTTCGGCTCGCGCATGAAGCTGGATGCCAGGCGGGAAAGAGTCAGCTCTGGGTTTCTGGGTTTCTGGGAGGTCGTTGGTCTCGGGATGTCTCGGGAAATTTCACGGTTCAATACTAATGGCCTCCAACCTAAGAGCGCTGGCCTCCAACCTAAGAGCGCTGGCCTTGATCAAAGCGGAGGGCATATCAAAGCCAACCCTGGGGATCCCAAAGGCTTTCACACGAAAGCTTCACCGGGTTTGGTGGTCGGGTTTGGTGGTCTATAGAGGCCATATGAGGCACTAAAACAGTTAAGGTGTTTCAGGCCTGGCAGGCGGGGTTGACGTAGTAGTGAGCACTCCTTGCGCTCCTGTTGATGCGTGGTGTTTCTTGCAGCCTGCAACACGGCTGTTGGTCATGTGATTTGCCCAGGGGGTCGCCAGCCCTGCTGGAACTGCGAATGAACTATCGCAATCTCTTGAACGAGTTCAAGGCCGGAGTGGTTTTGAGAGTCCAGCGCACTGGCATACGCTCGCCTCCAATGGTCGTAAATGGTTTCCGCTTCGTTCTTGCCACAGTGTCTTTGTGTTATTGGGAGGTGCCAGGGGGCCATCTCCACGTGAACCCGAACCCCAAAACGTTTCTCGAGTTTTGCCAGGTGCATGATGGCAAGCTCGTGTCCAACCAGCCCCGCACTCAGCCGCCGCGCCGCGCCTCCGACCCCACGCGGTGCTCCACGGCTCCGCGGCGTTCGGCGCGGCCGAAGCGAGGTTCGCGCTGCTGCGGCCGCGGCCAAAGGCGACGCTTCAAAAGCCCAAGGCGACTCTCCTAGAGTCTTTGGTGTGTGGCATTTGGCTTTGACAGGTTTGCGCTCCAAATGGGATATTGCAATATGCCTGAAATATTTGCATATATTTGGTAGAATGTTGAGCCGTTTTGTTTTTTAGGACATCAGCTTGTTTTGACCACGAAGACTTACACGCAATGGGAACACCTTCGGCAATCTTTTGAGGCGCTGGAGTATCCGCCTGGAGTGGACAAGGTGCATTTCAGATTTGAGCTCAAGCCACAAGCCGTGAGTGAAAGGGGTCCTTGAATTCTTGATGACTTGTGAGTCACTCGTGGAACATGCAGATTATTTTAGGCCATAGGCCATAGATGTCATAGATGACCATAGCGTACATCTCAGAGGCTTTACATCCATCCAAGTTCATTAGATGGATTTCACCAGACCTCTGCTCCACCCAAGTCCTATGATGGTCATGATTGGGAATCGTCGCTCAATGACATATCCAACCTGCGACATTACAGATGGATCATGCAACGTAGATCAGATTTGTCAGCGGGCAGTGCCAACTGTTCGGGGCAGTGCCATCTGTACAAGATCCAACGGCATGCCAATGCAGGCGGTCTTCCGGAAAGCGGCCCTACAGCGCGCCAAGCAGCTGGAGGGCAGGACGCTGGCGTCCGCACGCATTCGCGCCGGCGTGTTCCTTTTTTTCTTGTGGTGCTCTAGTTTTTGCGTGTCATTGATATTCAGAGGCGCTTAGAGAGTCATTGGGCCCCGTGTTAACTGTATTGTTGCAAGCTGCTGGACAGTGGGTTTGTCCGGTTAGCAGCTGTTATGGCAAACCAAGATCAACCAAGTCGTGTATCATTCAAAAGTTTTAGGTTCTTGGTTTATAGACCATGAAATCCGGTTCCCAAACGGGTGGTTTTCACTCCACTAACTGATGATTTCCTCCATATGCAAAGCTCCGGACGAGCTTCCGCGCTTAGTCTCCGGCGGCTTCGCCCCAGGATGTCGCGGCCCATCACGCGGGAGGAGGAGGACCGTCCGGCGGTGCAGGAGCGGCGGGGGAAACAAGGGCGCAGCGAGGAGGAGGAGTCGCCAATGGGTTTGGGATGGTTTGGGTGAGGTGAGAAATCTTGAGAGTTCTTGTTTACTTACTTGTTTGTGGGATTAGGATGAATGAACAAGATAGGGGTTTTGAAATGACGCGGGAAGCGGATGTTTCAAGGAGAGATCAAGGTGTGTCAGGTTCAGAAAACTTTGTTGTGATAGTCGTCATTTTGGGGGCAGGCAAGGCTTCGTGTAAGGATTGGCACCAGGGCATTCACATCATGTCTTGCTAGAAGTGCAATATGTTGGAATCGATTTGATGAAGTGTAATAGGTGCTCTTGGAATCCTACTTTTGTTCAGATTTGCACTGCATCCGGTTCCCCAACAGCGGCTGAGCTCGCTTTCAGATCGGAGCCCCACCGCCCAATGCAGGAGAAGGTGGAGGATGAAAGCAGCCCGAGGAGTAAGCCTGATCCAACCTTACAGAAGGAGGCCTGGACTATGTGACTATTCTGGACTCCCGAGAATCTGACCGGGCTGTTGGAGGAATGTTTGACCTTCCCTCAGGGCAGCGACGTCTTACAATGGCCTACAGCTAGGAGACATGCTGGACTGTGTGTACTTTTGGCCCTTGCAATTGCTTCTATGTTTCTTCAGTACAATTTTCATAGCCTTCGGAATCCAAAGGTTTGTCAGCTGCCTGTGAAGGATGCGGGCCCTCCCTGGACCCGTTTCCAGTTCATGCGCATTCGGCTATTTTCATTATTGCATGCATTTACAGTTTGGTATGCCTAAAATGCAGTTGGGAATTGACATCACCGACCAACAAGTTTGTGGGGTGGTCACAGTTCCCACTCCAAAAAACCTATTGGATGCAACAAAGGAGGCCCCAAGCCGGACAATCCCTCAACACCTTGATCACAAGATAGATTTCCTGTTGACCACCCCATGCAACAAAGACATGACTTGTTAAAATCATGTGGCATCTATTATATATATATATATATATGTGTTCGTGTTCGCAAGATGTTCAAACCAAATCCATTTGGGGCCCCTGATGGGCTCCTTCCACCCGCGCCCTGCCGTGGTCGCTGTCCCGGGTCGTCCGTCTCCCGCCAGGTCCGCGAGATCGCGCGGAACGCGAAGGTCCAGGCGACGCATGGATCCATGGAGTACCCGCCCAACAGCGGCAATGGCACCGTGCTCAGCGGAGAGGATCCAAAACGATGATGGAGTCGAGTCTCTCTTTTTTGGGAGAGCATCCGTGCTAAGCAGCACCTTCGAGAACTTCGAGGCGCCATTGGCACCATCTCATAGATCCATACCATATTTGCACATGTTCTGGTATACTGTTGTAAGCTACAAACAGAAAGATAGTATCTTCGACAAGTAGAGAGTTGACTCCGATAGTCACTTCAATACCAAGGTCTGCCAATCGACCGCATTCCGCGGGCCTTGGAAGCCCTGAGCTACTTGAGCCCTGACCCGAAGCGGATCGAGGAGAGCGGATCGCAAAGACGCACAGGCTGAGACCAACTCCAACCTAGTAGCGATGGCCTCCAACCTAATAGAGACCATCCTCTATAGTCACTCTAATGTCGACTCTTGATTCATAGACCCCCCCTTATGAGGAGGTTGTTCACTTCAATTGTGGAGGTGATTCATCAAGAGCCTACATTGGTCCTTAATGATCCTTAATGTTCGCTTTTGATAGTTGCTTTTGTCAAGAAGGCTGGCAGGTCTTGGGATGCATGTGGTCCCACTGAGCACAGTGATTTTTGTCCATGAGCATGTGCAGCATGGACCCTATAGCTGGACCCTATCCCATCAGCCTACAGACCTTGCTGGTTGAAGACACTGCAACCAGGACTCCCTACAGACCTTGCTTTACCGGAGCTCTCCTGATCAGCCCTTGGCCTTGGACGAGTTCGCCGTGGCCGGGCGTGGCGCGTCGACCGCGCGCGTGCATGGCGGCTGGTGTGGGGTGTGCCTGTGGTCACATGTTCCTAGTAGCTTATTGTTTTTAATAGCTTCTTGTTACTAGTAGTAAGGCACCTGTTACTACTAGTAAGGCACTTGTTCCTAGTAGCTTATTATGTGCAATAGCATGGTGCAGAGAGTAGCGAAATAGTGATAGTGCTGACCCTTTTCGACGGTTCGACTTTGTGCTCCTCCAGCACTGAGGGTGACGGCGAATGGTGGTGCCAGAATATCGAAGCATCGCATGTTCCAAACCGCCGCCACCCACGACTCTTTGCTACTGCTGTTTGGTCATCCAAAGCTGGAGCCCCATGGCGGGGTCGACCACCTCAGTAGCGGAAATAGCTTGGCGTTGGGTGATTGAGCTTTGTTTGCAGCCGACCGTTTATAATCCCAGGTGATGGGATCAGTAGTACAGCTCACCGGCAGACAGTCCCAGTATCCTATAGTGAAATGGCCTTGCATGCCGCCCACGTTGGCCGTGCCTTGAATACAAAAAGACCTTGCTTTTGGGATTCCGGAAGTCACTATAACGATTGCCCATCGATTGCCCTTTTGTGAAGTTGGTTGGTCGTCCTCGATTGCTTTTTTTACGCAGGTGATCCATCACTTCGAAGTGCACCGTGCTCAGCAGATCAAGGCGCAGTTCAACCAGCTGGATGAAGATGGCTCAGGTGGGGAACCGTCTCAGGGATGATCCGGAGGGGATGAGTGATGAAAGAAGCCACAGATGCTCAAAGCATCACTGGGAGCAACAATTCTATGAGAGGGCCCACTGGTGGGAAAGCAATCAACAGGCCCAGGCAGCCAACTGGGATGACGATTTGCTTTACTTCCCAGTCACCTTGAGGGAGACCCAGCAGAAGAAGCTTCAAAAAAGCTTTGACTTTTCGGAGGCACCAAGGAGTCGGAAAAACTGTTGCTCCACTCCAGGAGCCATCGACAAGGGAGAGCTGAGGCGTCTCTTGTGGGACACCGGGTATTCGGTGAACAGGCCCGGGCCGAGCGAAGCGTCTGCATGGGCCTTCGCTTGGCTATGCTTCGCCTTTCCTGTTGAGGGCAGGGGTTCGTTCGGACATGTTCGGCCCCCACTGCGCTGTGACCCCTGACTTGCTCTTCCACAATGAGGAGGAAAAGGATCATGGGAGTGCTGCTTTGGATGTGCTCATTTTTTGTTTTGTTTTTTTGGGGTCCATGTTGGACAAGGAGGGATCTCTGAGGAGTAAGTTGAGCAACAGCCCTGACACGCCGATGTTCAGCAGCCTGAACTCATGGATGTCAGGGACACCTTGGACGAGATTTTCGATGAAGTTGACAAAGACAAGTCGGGCTCCGTGGAACTCAAAGAGCCCCTCGAATGCAACTCGGGGCGCTCCGCTGCTCGCGCTGCGTTCGTGTGTGTGAGGGAGTCTGTGTGATGCACGGTAGTGGGAGACTGGCTGGAGCTGGGTGGGCAGGCGGCTGATGGTGCCATAGGCTGCATGTATGGGGATTGCTGTGTGCTCGTTTTGCCTTTTGTATTTGTATCTATTTGTAGATCCTTTGCTTGGTCTTTAGAGGCATGTTCTAGTCTTTTTGTCCTTTACCGGTACTTGGATGTACTTGGTGGAGATGGGCAATTTTAGAGGACGTTGCTTAAAGTCACCTTTGTGGACCCGAGGGAAGGTTGATTCTCTTACCAACCAGAACTGTGGGTGATCCAATGCCTTTGATGTTCTTTTGCTGTTGGTTGATTCATGGGATGGGGATGTCCCCAAGTGTACAGCCAATGGGTACATGGTACCAAACGAACTCCTCAATTATTCCCAGAAGGACATCATGGATCCAAACAGATCAAACACTCATGTCTTTTGCGATTCATGCTGCATCGCGACGCATATAATATAGTCGTCCTGAAGTGTGTGGCAATTTGTTGCTAGTATTGCTAGTAGTGCAATCGCCGTTTGCCACGCCACTTGATGTTCTTAAGCTTAGCAATTATATATATATAGAGTATGATTTTGTATGCATTGGTCATTTTGTGCCGTGCGGGGCGTGAGGAATTTAATCGTTTCTTTCATCATGACTCAGTGTCAAAGTGTCGTGCGTGGGTTGCCCAGTGAACGGGCTTTCCACTCCCCAAATCGACAGCGTTCCCCACCTCCCACCCTTTGCAACACAAGGTTCGAGCTCGTGCTCAAGATCGCCTGTGGCCTCAGTCAGAGATGGTCGGACATATTTGATCGATGAGTCGATGAGCAGAACAACAGGGTCACCCTGGTCAGCTGACCACTAACTATCAAGGGGTCTTGATGAGTGGGTTATATGTCTTGTTCAGAGTTTTTGTGGGGAGTGTCGGAGTGACTCTTTGGTAATGACTTCCCATGCATGTTGTTGGAGGTCCCCTGTTTGGAAAAGCGGGTTGCTTCCATGAAACGGGAAGACCCAGGTTCTGAAATAGTTGGCACGGTGCAACCCACATGTTGAGATTCATAGTGTTCCTTTCATGGTTCACCACCTGGTTTACCTACTCAACACTTTCACTTGCATCTCCCAGTGGAGGCGGTGAATCCCAAAGAAAACGAGCCATCGGCGATCTATCTACTTGGCTCCGCTTGAGCACCATGAGAAGCACCCCCTATAGAAATCAACTTTCAGTGGCGGACAAGCACAGATCTTGGTCCAGGTCTACGATCGCTTTGGCTTCTCACGCAGCGAAGTGAAGGCAGAAGCGGCAGGGCAGATGTTGGGTAAGGGGCCAAAACGTGTCGAGAGTGGCATTCATTGGACAGTAGCCATACGAAAACACATGAAACAATTATCGCCAATCGTCGCTCTAAATGAATTAAGCGTCAATATTAACTTATGGATTCGGAACGTGACATGTAAAGAACCCCACGTAACTAACCCTTCGTTCGGACTTCGCTCGGGCCTCTCTCTGAGAGGCGCACCACCCATCCAAACGAACGAAGCCAACCTTCCTGCGGGTTGGAGAGATGAAACACCACCCCTCTCCCATCTGGATGGTGTGTGTGAGCATTTTGGGAACGGTGAGCTCCCCTAACATCCAGCTCTAAATCAACGGGACTCTCCATGAACTAATTTCAGAAAGACTCCCAGAGGAATGTATATAGATTTCAGGCTTCATGGCCTTCAGATTGATCACCTCAGTCTCACACATATGTTGGTGAAAAAAAACGCCACCCTGGAGGCTTTCTACACGCTCTTCGATCGCTACGATGCGGATTTGTCAGGCTGGGAAGATGTCGCATCACTAGCCACTAGCCGCCCCAACTAAGAAAGATGCTTAAGATAATGACCGGACCCTAATTAGGATTCCGAGCATTGCCAAGCCACCAAAAACACATCATAACACATCCAAAGTATGTAGGCTCTTAGAGAATCTTAGAGGCATGAACGATCTCATATACTGACAGGTCCACCCTCCAATCGACCGCACTTGAAATGCTTATCAGCAGTTTTCGAGGCACAAACACGGCACAAACACCCCATGAAAGGCCAGCGATGGAACAATCACCAGAAGAAGTAGAAGTGAAACCAGAAGAAGAAGAAGAAGAAGTGGAAGTAGAAGTAGAAGTGAACCAGAAGAACCAGTAGAGGCCTCGGGCGATCTTAGCACCCGCACTCCGGGCCGCACTCCGTCTTTCCACCCCGCCGTGGGCCGACGCGACGTCCTCAGGTGAGCTCTCGGCCGATGAGTTGGCCGGTGCACTCGGGTGGCCCCTCGGCTCGGAACGAGGTGGACGGGTGGCTCCAAACGTGGGCGGCACTGTAAACCGTTACACCACACCCCTGTAGGCGCTATATAGCTTCTATCAGAAGGTTGACATGTTGTTCGAAGCCTTGAGGGGATAGTTTGGTATGAATATGTCAATGTGTCGTGAATAACTGTGAGGAGATATGTGTGAATTTATATACTGTCATAGTTCATGGGCGAGTTGCAGCTAGTCCCTTACTTGGGCCTACTGCATCCTTCGAATTCCGCCACTGGGACGACGGCAGCACACCCGCCGCGGCTGTTGAGGTGTGGGCATCCGACCAGCATCGCAGAAGCGCGAGACATCATAGAGAGATACTTGGAAAAGGCCAGAGAAGGGTTGGAAGGGTCCGAGCTCCCGAATTCTCTTAGCATCTCTTAGCTCATCATGAGGTAGGCCGTGCTAGGCTCATGTATGCCATGCTGATGGCCTGGCTTGTTGACCCAGACACCCCTTTGCAAACGCATGCATGATGGTCATCATAGTCAGAGATTGCCTTGAAAGTGTGCTGTAAAATCTTGATCAACAAACCTCCTTAGCAAGACGTTTTACAAAGAGATTTTACGATCCAAAGGTGGTCATCAATCAAGATTATACATTGTTGCCTTTGATGCGAAATCTACTTCCAGAATGTTGCTTCCCTTCACCTCGCCTCTTCCCTCTCCATGTCTTGGCACTTTGACGCTCGCTCCTGCTGGCAGTCCATCCAGAGCATCAGCCGCCCGGAGTTCCTGCGGATCATGCGCTGCGTGGCGGAGGAGGAGATCGAGGAGTTCCGGGCGCTCTTCGCGGCCATGGACGATGATGATAGCGGGTACTTGGACATGTGCCATGGCGTGATGGCACGCTAAAATGAATGCGTGGAGCATCATGACACATGGGAATGAGACATTGAGATGGGTCGGGAGTGTGCGGTGGGGGGTGCCATGAACATCTCAGACCAGATTTAATTGAGGCAAATTGACTTATGGGCATTGTATGGAATTGCATGGCACACGTCACATCTATATACCATGTGTTTGATTTGGAACTTACACTTTACCTTTTTATCACTTCACGGCCGTCCTCCACCTCTACCGCTATCGGGCGTTGCTCGCCCTCCAAGGCATGAGCTTGCCGAACTCTTCTTCAAGCGCCTCGGAGCAACTACAGCGACGCAGCAGAGGGGTGGCAAGCTACATCAAGCAACAACCGGACTTGCTACAGCCTGTGATTGCTGTCGTTTTGTTTTTCTTGTTTCTTCGAGTCGTTTGGCATTAGGCCTTGTAGCCGTGATAGCCCGGAACGGACATGTGGTATATGTTTTAAATGCGGAGACCTTGCTGTTTGTGCATAGAGAAACTTCAGTTATGAGAGGATCACCTTGTCCGGTGCTTTGACAAGTTTAGTCCCCCCAATGGGGCGAATGTGTTGTTTTTTCAAGGTCCTCATCCATCGCCTTAAGCTCATCAGAAGCTCAGACTTAAGGGCTGCCTGTGAAGTGAATCCTCCCTTTGGCTGGCGCTTGGCTGTTGTGCTGGAGGGGATGCCCCGCCGCGCCCGGCGCACCCCCATGGCACCTCCCAGGCTGGGCTACACGATCCACAGCTCCGCCCGGGAGCCCGAACGACGTGGGACGGGCAGCAGGAGTTTCACCGGACCGAGTACGTGATAGGACCATGACATGATGACCTGTTGCAAGAATGTTGACTTGCACCATCTTGCACCTAAGTTCTTCTAAATAGGCACCTGGGGTCATAGATAGTAGATGTATATATAGTCATCCAGTTTCGGGAGACAACGGATTTGGGTGGAAAAACGGGAGCCGGGGGCCATTTGGAGGATGAGGGAATATGAGGGATGACCATAGGACTGCAGTTCCATCCTTGAACGAGATAGAGTGTGCTGATATTTTTACATGCGTGTGTGCGTGGGAGATGTCACCAATTTTACCAACTGGTGTCACCGGTATAGGATGTTCACCCATACCACTTTTCCTCCCGGCAAGCTTCCCTCACAGACCATCGCAGACCCCTGAGGTCATCGAAGAGGCCGTTCATGGCCTTTTCCCTGCGGGCGCGGAAGATGGAATTCTTTTTGAGGACTGAGACCCGGGCGTTTGGGATTTTCCGGGAACATGTTGGCCATGAAAGGATGCTGAGACCTCTTTGGCATTTGGGAGTTGATGGCCCCTCATGTCATGAGGTTTTGTTTTTCTATTTTTTTTTTTGTGGGGGGGGACTGCGTGGCAAGGAATGCCTCAAGTCATGGCAAGTATTTGAGAGCTTTTCGAGCATAGCCAAAACTTAAAAGTGCCTTGGCTGTGCCCCAACCGTTTTCGTCTCTAACAAACAAATCCATCGAGAAAGGCCAGGTCTCCGAGCTGGGGACCGACATCCGAGACTCCCCAGGACCCGACAGCGCCTCCGCACCAAACACGCCACGGCGTCGTCGTTGTCGTCTCGTCAGGATTGTGTGCATGTTTTGGCCTACATTCGTGCCAACGAAGGCTTCTCCAAAGAGGAGGCCGGGGGGAGAATCGGACCGTTCGATCGGACCGCGAGAGTTGGGCAAGTCCAGTCTAGCTGTAGTAGAAGGGTGGTTTGGTGACTGGCTTTCTGGGGGGGGTTTGGACCAAGCTCCAAAGTGTGGTGTGTGTTTGGCACATAGCACTGATACATCGTATAATCGCCTTTGTTGAAAGTTCGAATGAAATGGTGATGTTGCTGAGTTGGCTCTATATTCACCCTCCAGGTGCCTTCACCGACTGTAAGATTCGAAAGCCTTCCAATTCCATTTCACAAGTTTGCGGGCACTGAAAAGGCGACTGAGAGAGCTGAGTGGGCGTCGTTCACACGGTTCCGGCGACATCTCCCATGCTCGGGCAGTGGGAACTTCCTTTTCCTTGTTCGATTCTTTGTCCTAATTGCATCTAATCGCATCTATGTGATTGCAATGTCCTCCAACCGACCAGCGATGGCACTCTCTTTTGGCGCGTTCGAACGCCCTTGTGCGCCTGCTGCCGACCAGTGACGACACCGTGCCAGGCGCAAGAGCTCAAGTCGGTCTTCCGGAAGTTCTGCTCCACAGCCGGGCGGCCCACCTGCTTGGGATGCTTGGGAGGCTCCGCAGTGCAGACCCAGCAGGGCAAGAGGTGACAGAACTCTGTGCACTGAGCACCTGTTGAGCACCTGTTGAGTCGTGTTCACTGGTCGCAGTGCTCACTCCGTACACTCGCCGGTCCAGGGTGAAATGAGAGACATGACTCCCACATTGTGTGCAAGGACACGTTGAATTACCGTTGAATAGGGGAAACTTTGGGAGCTCATGAAGGGTGCATTGATCCATTCTGTGTGGTCGTGATGATAACCTTGCTGATTGGGCGTTTTTCTGCAACTTCCTGTGCAACTCCCTGACATTGTCTCACCAAGCAGGTTGGTAGCGACTTTAATCGATGATCGTGGGGACATCAAGGATTTATCGCTGTGGGGTATCTTAAATAGATCATACCTCCTGGAATTAGTTGTTGAAATCCATTATATGCCAAATTTGGAAATAGTAGTTCACCATAATCAATGAACTTTCACAAAACCACAACAAGCTTTGTTGAAACAGAACACGTGATTCAGAATTAAATTCGGAATCTTTGCCACGGCTGGTCAGAACAAAGGAGCTGTGAGAGGCGGTTTGTCGGAGTTATCCTACATATCTTCTTAAATGGAACCACAACCGAGCCACATAGGCCTTAGCGGGCCTTAGCGTTTGAGGGACTGGAAGGTTCTGTGAGAAACAAGTAAACTCCTTTGCAGCGAAGACCACGAAGACAACAACTCTTGAAAGCTTGGACTTCAACGCGGCTTCGAGAGAGGTTTCGCATTTGTTGTTGTCTTAATAGGTTCCACTCGCGTTGCTGATTCTTCTTGTCGAGCTCCGACCGTTGAACGAAGCTGAACCTGAACACCCGAAAACCTTCTCATATCTCGACCGAAGAGATCTCCACATTGCATTGACTCGGTCCATTAGAGTCCATTGGGGGTGTTACCATTGACTCGGGCCGATGTGATGATCTTCGACGCTTTCCACAGGGCCGGGATGAGCTGAGAGAGTTCGAACTCACCCGAGCCTTGAGCTGGTGCGGCCCTGGGGCATGCGAGCGATGCGAGCCTTGCGCCGTGCACGCGCGGTGTTGGATGGGCGGTGTTGGTGCGCAGTTTGGGGGCACGATGATGTTCCTTGGTCACCCACATGTGAAATGTGTGTGTACAACTGCCACATACAGCATTACTCATCATTACTCCTAAGTGGTGTTTTGTGCTTTCTTCCGGTTTGGAGTGGTTTGCACATCACGCTCGTCACAGACTGAGCCAATCATCCAGCCACCGGCTGTGAAGACTGGCAACTAAGAGTGCAGACAACCCACATCAATATTTGCAAAATTTGCAAAGAAACAGAGAAACAGCAAATCCCTATGAGAGTGTGCAGGTGTGTGTCCAACATCTTGGCATCCATGGCTTCCCTTAGCTTCAATCCAAACTCAAGCACGCGACGCGCAGACGCGACACGTGTGGTGCGCGCAGACCCCACGCGTGTGGTGCGCGAGGTTGGGCTACCCCTTGTCCTCCCAGCGACGGCGGCAGCTTTGGTGCCGAGTGGACTTGGACAAGAGTGGCCGGGGCGTCCAGCGGCATCGGCGTTCCTTTTCTGGGAAGAGATGGGAGAATGAACCCAGGAAAATTTGCAATTTGAGGTGTCAAAGCACGACATATTGTTGGACTATTTAGAACTAACTTGCCTGTGGAAACTTCTTTTTGCAGGATCAGTGAACTTGCAAAGGCTGCAAAGGGCCTTTTCAAGTCTTCAATCCAGGTCTGTTGAGTCGCTTCACAAGTAGATTGAACATCTTCAGCATTATAAGATAATATATCTTTTTGGCGAGATTCTGTGGGTTTAAAATCAATGGGTCAATTTTCCTTAGCAGCAATGACAAAGTTACAAGTGTATGAGACCCTCTCAACAAGTTTTGGCCGCCGACTCCGCTGTTGGTGTTGCTTTGAGGTGCTATCCATGAGGCTTGCTGGGGAGGGCCTGTTTCGGAGAGCCAGGTGATTGATTCTTCCAAGGGGCATTTTGACAGGATTGATGCTCCGTAGTTCTTCCATGAGTTGGTCTAAAATGAGAGTGTACACAACTTGGGGCCCATTGGTAAGATCACTCGAGAAGCTCTAAGCAGCTACTGGCACACAGAATATACCAACTCTGTGGGACAACTTCGAGCCGGAAGCTATACACCATAGGACTTATCTTGGGAGAATGAGTCGGAGACCTGAGACTGGAGGTTCTTGACACGATTCTCTTCTTTAGACCATCTGATGACTTGAAAAATCCAGGGTTGGGAAAGGCGGTTCCATTTGCACGAACTGATTTTCATAGGTTGCTTTCATTTCATTCAGGTTTCTGCCGCAAATGCCTTCTTGAGAAACTTGCATGAACCCTTTAGGATGTGGAAACACATGTTCACGACTTATTTGGCCACCACCACATTCATCGCCTTCTTTCCAAGCTCCTCGGCCTCTTGAAAGGTGGAAAAACCTCGTGTGCCTCTTTCGTTTCGGCTTCTTGAAAGACCGACCTAGCTTCTTGTTCCTATGGAGTCAGAATGCTACTAGTAGGAATGCCCTTTGTTACTAGTAGCGAACATTGCTCCTAGTAGCGATGCCAGGAGCTCCTAGTAGCGTCCTTGCTCCTAGTAGCGATGCCCTTGGCTCCTAGTAGCGAACATTGTTCCTCTTTAGTTTTTCACCTCTTTAGGCCCAAACTTTCGGCTTCAAAAGAATCACGGGCCTCGCTGGCGTTCTGGAGCCTTGGTTTGAACGAGCCGCGCGTCAGGGAGAGTTCCTGAAGCTGGTGCGTCACCTGCGAGAAGAGGACGTGTGAGAATTGACCGTTGGTCGTTGGTGTTTTTTTTGTGCGTGGGGTGTGGGCCTGGGAACTTCGAGCTAGAGTTCGCTGATTACTTCTAGAGCAATGTTCCGAACTCTAGCTATTCAGATCCTTGAGGTCAAGAATCACATAGAATCACCAATTGACAACGGTAGAACTCTGGCAGCTCTTCACATGTTAGTGACGCAGCCAAACTCTGGGGAGATTTGCTCCTATGTTGCTCAATTCTTTCTGAACCTCCACTCATCAAAGGACCCATTCTTTTCCACAACCCTTTGTGATTTCCTGGTGTCCCCACCCCAAGCGCTGTCAGCTGGCTCCGTCTCCCGCCGGCCTCTCGCCCGCCCTGCCCCATGGCGCGCCGCTGGCGCTGCTGGGCACCGGTGGTGCTCGCGGCGGCCGAGGCGGCGGAGGCCGAGGCGGCCACTGCCGCGCTGTCCGCAGTGCGGGGCGTGGCGCCCGAGGATCAGGCGCGGCCAGGTGGTCTTTGGGTGGCTTTTTTGGCGGGTGAGGGATATGTGAAGGATCTGAGGGATCTGATGGAATCTGATAGGGGAGGCCAGACCAGCAGGTTTTATTTGGGTATGAATGTGCGTCATGATGATGGATTTATGCAAAGTGGAATCGCATGGCCTACTCGCTAAAACGCAATTGGCACTGGCACTTAACCAAAACAAAGATCTGTCCCAATGACACCTGAATCGCGGAAGGCCAGATATGGAATGGATGAGTTCAGATGCTTGAGCCTCTTGTCCTAAGGGTCTTTGTGGTCATGTTTGCAGGATGGATTTGGAAAAGGATGAGCGGCAGCATGTGCTTTCCACTTAAAGAGGGGCATGATAGGGTTCGAGGGTGGGATGGTGGAGGTGGCACTGGAGCTTGGCGGATGGGAGTGGGAGATGCCTTTGCTGACTTTTTGTTTTGGCGGAGCATGGAGCTATCGTGTTTAATGATTTTGTGTGCTTTTAACCAACTGGGTTTCTTTGGCTTTCATGAGTGGGCTATAAAGTCAATTGCAAACCCATGTCAATCCAAATCCTTTAGCACATACAGCATCAGCTTTATCACTGACAAAACTGATGAGCTTCGCATGTATGTTTGTGGTCTTATTTTCCTTGAGAAATTCCGAGGCCAAGCAGGGGAAGAGCGTGCTTAAGGTTTAACCTCTCTCCGACAATCACAGAATCAAGTGAACTCCTTTTTTGGTGAGGAGTTCATCTGAACCTTCCAAAAGTCATCACAAACGTTCACATCCACAAATACATAGATAATAGACTGGATAGACCTCCTATGACCTCCTCATAGGAGTTGTCCGTTTGCCAGGGCGGCACCGCCTGGTCTCCTCCCCCCGCAGCGCCCGTGCTCCGAGGCACCGGCTCCTCGCTGCCCCGCGACGCCGTCAACGACGACTTCTGCGACTGCGACGACGGCAGCGATGAGCCGGGCACCGGTGCGTGCGCGGGGAGCGGCGCGACGCTCTTCTACTGCCGGGCGGCCCAGGAAACTGAAAGAAGAGAAGAAAGAGATTGGGTTTGGGCCGGGTTGGGCATGTTTTTTGGCAATATCAGATGTGTAATGATATGTAGCGGATTGTAGGCATCATTATTGTCGCTTGTGAAGTTCAAGCCTGATACACCAGACGGTATTAGTAGTCACCATCTCACCATTGCATGCAGGCGCCAACGCGCAGAGTGATGCGGCTTACATCTACACCTCTCGTGTGAATGATGGAGTCTGCGACTGCTGCGATGGCAGCGACGAATGGAGAGCAGAGCAGCTGGTGACATGGCTGGTGACAGAGCAGCTGATGCCGTTCAAGGAATAAGAAGCGTTGTGAGATCAAGTCCATAGATCTCTCAATAATCCCTAGTTCCTATTAATAAACGTACCCCAATTAATAAAAACACATGTGCCCGACCCCAAAAAATTGTTAGTAGCGTTTTGAAATTGCTCCCTTTGAAATTCAATACTCGTGGGTCCACAGTCGGGGGTGCCCCAGATTTTAGGTGTATTAGGGGGACAGCAAAAATAACCCGAATTCCCCCTAATATTAAAAACATCTCCAATCCTCCCCCAAAAATACCTCTCTCCCTCTCTCTCTTCGGCGAGACCGCGAGACCCTGGTTCTCCCTCTCTGTCCCTCTTTGTCCCTCTCTGTCCCTCTCTGTCCTCCCCTTTGACCCTTTTTAGCTTTTTTGATGGTCGTTTTATAAAGGATTTTATATAGATTTGGAACCCATGCCTTTTCCATGTTGCCTCCTTTCCAAGATCCATTCTTGCTGTTTTGTGGCCCCCTAATACTAAGCAGGAGTCTGTGCCAATGTTCCTAATTAATTTTGCTTTCCTGATTGCGCTATCCATTGCTCTTTGCAGCGATGTGTTTTCATTCATTGGGTGCATCAACAGTTGGTCTAGGAAACCAACAAGAGGGGGAAGACCTTCGATTTGACCCTTTGTTGTTTTTTTGATGGTCGTTTTAACGAGGATTTTATATAATTAATTAGATTGGGAACCCAGGGATTTTCTTTCGAGACCCTACTTTTTATTAGGGCGAACAGAACATTGCCCATTTGGGGGTACAACAGGTGCCCCTCAATAATAAACACCCCCTATTAGTAAAAACACCCCAGGGTTTTTATTAATAGGGGGGGAGGCCCCGTTTATTATTAGGGAGAGGGGATTAGCATTCAATAGCGCAAACGCATAGCCACTTGCTGGCACTACCACGCAAAAACTCAATTTGTTAAGACTTCCTACATCACCACAGCCACGGTGCCTCGGAATTTCTGCGGCCTCCGTTCTGAAACCATCCCAAAAGCGTAAACAGAAGGAAGCATGGAAACAGACAGTTTTCAGACGGATTCAGTTCAGACCTTTGAGGGCCGCAGCCCCTGTGTCGACACCTGCCACGCGGAGGGCCGCGCGCGAACGCGGCGGCGGTCGGAGCAGATCTCGGAGCTGCGCTCCGGGATCAAGCGGCCTGGCCCTGAAAGCATTCGTTCTTTCGGGCGCTTGTTACAAGAAGCTACTAGTAACAAAGGGCATCGCTACTAGGAGCAAGAAGCGAACTAGGGGCTCCTGGCCTTACTACTAGGAGCAAGAAACTACTAGTAACAAGTGCCCTGGGACTGGGATCGAGCTAGATTGATGAGCATCAGAGAGATGCGTCGAGTTCCTTATAAATCCTTATAGGCTTATAGGCCTTCACCATAGGGGGGTGCTATTTTACATGAACTCATCGTACTTGGGAAAAACGTGGATGTCTAGGATGTGGGCATTACACCATTGTTTTTCGTGGCCCTCCGAGGCAGAGGGCAGCCCTGATTGGCAAAGCCAAGTCAGAACGCGCGGCCTCAGACAAGGTGAGGGCTAAATGAGATATGGCGAACATACTTGAACAGTCTCAGTCAGTCAGCCAGTGAGTGACACCCACCCACAGTCAGAGACAACCACAAAGAGGAGTCCCTAAACCCACCTCGTAAATACAGATGTCTAGTCTAGACTCAATTCTTAGATATATAGTATTAAAGTTATACCGCAGTTTATGATACATGTTCCAGTTCTTTCGCTTGTGCAGGCAGCTTTCTTCCACAGCACCTCCACCGCTCCCCCTGACTGCAGGAGCTGCTGGCGCTCCGCGAACGGCTCCCGTCGCTCGAGGTGGCGGAGCGTGCCGCCAAGGCGCAGGTCGAGGCCGCTGAGGCGGCGAAGGCTGCGGAGGACCGGACGAGCGGCGAAGGGTGCGGGTTCGGCTTCGGTGGAGGTGCGGGGGGAGAGGCGTATTGGAGAGGTGGTATCCTGTATAATGCTTGAGTGGCGGTGGGTCATAGGGAGGTGAGATGGCGGAGAATTTGTTTGGTGGAGGAAATGGGGAATGGGTACCAGTGTGTGAAGTTGAAATTCAATGGGGCTGGTTTGCAGCAAGGAGTGTGTGTGTTTTTTTAATGTTTCTCCTTGTGCATTCACAAGTGGACATCGTTGGCAAGCATATATTACCTTTCGTTTTTTCCATGGCAGAGGCTGTTATTCATTGAGCTGAGCAGGACTGGAGTTTCCCCCTCTTCCACGGCAGGAGGCCAACGCCACGGAGCCCGACGCGGACGCCGCTCCCGCCGAAGCGCCGTCGGCCGTGCCCGGCGCTTCCGCTGAGTCGGAGCCTGCAGCGAGCTCGGAGGTGAAGGAAGAGCAAGTGCAGGAGGAGCCATTATTGGGGTTCCCCAGTGATGTTCTATGACCCGGATATATAGGAGTCAATGATGACGTTGTTGCTCACGGAATCGATATTGTTGAACCTGTACAAACATTAGAAACCATCTAAAATCTGTAGTGAAGCGTCGGCTGTTGGACGAAAACCATTCACACATAATTATATCAATATCCAAAATCCGTACTTTTCCAGTTTTCTCTCTAACGGGTTCATCAAGCAATTCTTGTTTTAAAGGAAGGTATAGCGGTATAGCTATTTTACTTTTCTGTAGGGGCTCTTGATGTGCCAAGTGATCCACTCACTTTGCGGTAGAATGCCCTGCAGGACGCCCCCGCGCCGGAGGCGCCAGCTTCGCCTCCGGCGGCCTTCGAAGCGGCGAAGCCGGTGGTCTCGGAGTACAGCAAATGGATGGATGGCGCAGCCGAAGTCCTGGATGAACCGGCAGTCTCCGAACCAGTTGTCTCCGAGTACAGCAAGCGGCTTGGATGATACAAGCATGGAAGGTGGACTGTGCAAGATGATGCGAGATGAATCTAGTATACAAAGATGGTGAAGAAAGCAAAGTTGCAACAGTTGTAGGTTTTTTGATGGCTTCTTGTCGGCTTTCAAGCCTTGTTGCTTCCACTCCCTCCGCAGTCCGCTCCGCCGTTGGACGCCCCAGGTGGATGGAAGGCGGCCCGGCTGTGGAGCCCACCGCCGCGCCGGAGGAGGTCGACGACAGCGACGACGCCGACGACGACATGGACGGTGGCGAGGGCGGCAGCACTGGCATGCGGGCGCTGTGGTCCAAGTGGTGGACGAAGGTCCGGGGTTTTCAAGGGACGAAGGAAGGATTTGGGAAGAACCATGAGTGGCTGCCTGCCTGCAACCACAGGCGATTGATAGAACCCGCCAGCATAGTTGAACTTCTTGGGAGGTCCATTAGGGGTTCTATCGCAGAAGCACAGATTACTTCTTGTGTCTTTTTGGAAGGTCCGACCATGTGTATCCGCATTCTTGCCAAAGGGGTGGGCCTGTCCCTTACTACATCTATAATAAGTGTTATCACTGAAAAGGCATCACCAAATCACGGCTAGAGTTGGGAGGCTGGGGCACTCCATGCAAAGCCTGTAAGAATGGCGACTTAAACATATATGGACTATCTCAGATCCAAAAGTAAGGTACCACCCCAATTTCATCGAATTATAGGATCCCTTTTTTAGGACCCTCGTCTCTCAAAGATAGCACCGAACAGTGGCTTCTTTCTTTTCGGATCGTCCCGTCAGCAGCCGTCAGCAGCAGCCGGCAGCAGCGGCAGGTCTCCGACGGTTGGACGGTCGCGACCCGTTGGGCCTCGGAGCTGTTGGGGCGGCGCCTGAGCCCCGCGGAGCGGGCGCTGGAGAAGGCGAAGCAGGGGCACCAAGCGGCCAAGAAGGACGCGCCAGTTGGGGTTGCGGGGCAGGTGTCGGTGGGAAAGGGGAAAGGAGGGAGTCCCAAAGAAGTGAAGATGAAGCCTGTCATGTCATGACAAATAAAGAGAGGGAAGTGAGGGATGGATACCATTACCATGTTTCATTGGGCTGTTTTGACGTACATGAAGCATCATGGATAATTCTGCATGCTGGCCAAAGCTTTGCCAGTTGTGTTTTTGCAGTGTTACTGTGAGGTTCCGATGTTCTTTCTCCGTGAGTCATAGTAGGTTTCAGGACATGGGACAGAATGGACAAAGAACGAAGAGTTCTTCTGGATTTCCTTCCGGCAGAGCTGGCAGAGATCTATATCACCTGAGATACATCCTTATTGTAGCTGAATAGATAGGTGCCACTTATTGCTATAGGACTTCCGATGCACACATGCTCAACGGTCCCCCTCAGCCCCTTCCGGTTGAGCATTTTGTTCACTGACGGCATGGAGTACCGCAGGTCAACAGGACCCGATACAAAAATAACAGTCAGTAAACTCAAATTCTATGTTGGAAGATGAACATCCTACCAGACCATCGCGATAACGGTCAATGTGAGGGTAAAAGGCAATGAAAGGCAATGTGGTTTGAAAGAGAACTCCAAGAACCTCAGTCCAGACTCTTCACTTCACCATTCTCACGACTTCACTTCAACTCCCCTTTGGTCTCACTGCGTGGGGGTCGACCCAACGAGGAGCTGAAGGACGCCAAGAGCCGCATCAGGACCTTAGAGCCTTGGGTGAGCCCAAAGTGGAGCTCGTTCTCGTTTGGTTGAGGGTTTTTCTATGCCGCCAGTGGTGTTCGATCAATATACTGCTGTTGAATTGTTTATGGCGTTGTCATTGAATCATTGGTTGCTTGACGTTCGTCACATATTGACCGCAAAAAAATTGGGAATTGATTTCCCCTGCTTTCTATCTCTTGTTGCTTCTCGGTCTTTGCCCGATATTTGTTTAGGAGGAGGTTTTGTGAATCATTATGAATCAAAAAAATTGTATAACCGTTCAACCTGCTTTCCCTGGCTACTCTTGGAAGAAAGAGATTGTAAAGATTCGTAATGTCAAACCACGCTCGGACTACATCCTTTTGGCACGTTTGGTGTCATACCAGTTCCAGAACTCACTTCAGGCTCGCTCTGCTCAGGGCTCGCTCTGTTCGACATCCATCGTTCACCTCGTCCCCCAGCAAGAGAATGTCCGCTCAGGAAGACCAGCTGAAATCCGGCGTGGAGGAGCGTGAGCTGGCCTTTTCGGGCTTGCACGATCGGTGTATTGAGAAGAGCATCGGCGAGTACAAGTACAAGATCTGCGCCTCGGGACCTGTGGGGCTGGAGAGAGCACTGGAGGACAAAGACGTTTGGGAGGGGTACGGGACCATATAGACTTTGGATTAACAACCCCAACTCCTTCATATGATTTCATCTGGGAGGGTTTTACTATGATCAAGAGTTTACATTGATTTCACAGAGGCCCCCCGCGTTGCATCTGAGAAAGCAGTGGGATTGCTGCTTGGTGTGATGTTCCCAGTTCTGAAATTCCCGCCTTGGGATCTTTGATGTTCAGACACAGCTTGTTGTGTGAAGCACGCGAAGTGAATCAAGGCTGCGAAGCGATTGCGAAACGAATGGAATCATTGTGCCGCCTAAGTTCGTTGCAGAAATATTTTTTTTCAAGAGCTGCATTTGCTTTCGGCAGCGCTCCTCGTTGTGTTGAGGCTTTTTCACCGATGCGAAGCAGGACGCCAAGGGGTCTTTTGCCTCGTGTGGCCACCGGAAGGTTCCAAAGTCCCTGGCAAATCAGGGAAGTGCGCTTGGTTCTCTCCTTCAACAACTTCTAGGACACCTTTCATTTGTGATTCCAACTGCCACGAGCAGGTGGCATGAACCACAGCACCGGCAGCATCATCACTAGGCAACTCATGCCCTATTCAGGTGTAGCAGGGCCTGCGGCACATCCAGTTGGATCCAATCTGCCATGCCATCCACTTCCTTTTTTGCAGTCTTCAGGGGCATTTGGGAGCGCATTCTTTCAGACGTGTCTTTCGGCACCACACCTTCAAGCCGTTCTATACTACCCATACCCTCCCTATCCCTCCCTCCCTCCCCCCCTCTTCGTGGACACGAATCAGGACCACACCTCAATTGGCCGTTGGAAGGGCTGGTCTTGGGACTCCGGGCTGGTCATGGCTCTCTTTGACAACGGCCAGTACTGCCCGGGCGGACCTGCAACTGGGACTGTGGGATTGTTGATGTGGCAAAGGGGATGTAAATTATCAGAACAAAAAATAACTACTATATATAACAGCCTGACCCAAATAATGTCCATCTTTGCACCTTTCATTTATCTTATTGTGGGCCGTGGGTTGTCAGAAAGAAACCAAAGTCCATATTATACTGTAAGCATTGGTATGAAGGGATAAGTGGATGTGGTGGGTGTCAGTGTGCCAATGCTGTGCCAAAAGGATCTTCTGGTTGATGGATCTCGGCTTCATTTGCTTAGGAACCAGCGGCTGTCAAATATCTAAGAGAGGTTATTGATAAAGTCTGGTCCAGGCCAGGGCTTTAGGTGCTCAAGTGCTTGGCAACCTTTCCCGGAAGGAACTCAGAGGGGACATTTTTCTGAAACCGTACATGCATGTGTGGGAAAGGTGCAACAGTGCAGGGACCTCCCCAATGTAAACTGCTATATAGTTTCCTTGATCTCACCCTCAACTACCCAGACCCACACAGCACCTGCACCAGTTTACAACACCAGGTGCCAGGCCAGACCAGACCGAGGCACCTGCCTTCCTTCGCCTTTTTTTGGACCCCCCCCCCTCCCCCGGGACGCGCCTGCGGCCACCGGTCGGCCGCGTCCGTCCGCGTCGCGTTCGGCGTGCGTCGGAGGAGCGGAGCCTGACGGTGAAGTTCCACTGCGGCGCGGAGGAGCTGCTGGACGTCACGGAGCCCAGCCGCTGCGCCTACGAGGCGCTGGGAACGGGGTGGGCTGCTGGCTTGTGCGCCTGGGTGTGCCGTTTTTGGGAGTGAGGCAGTGAGAGGTGGAAGGTAGGTACCGTAGGTGGGTAGGGCCTGCCTGGGTAGGATTGTGACTGGAGTTTCTTTCAAAGTTTGGTTTGCACAGCAAATTTCAACAGATGTTCCACCCATCACCATTCAAAAGATGAATGATGAAGGGCAGTCCCAGGGGCTTTCTTCGGCGTCCACTCAAATCGGAGGCCCAGATGAAGCACCCTGCCTCTTGCACACCGGAGCTTTTGGAAGCTCTCGAGAGTCGCCGTGTGCGCCGCCCCACAGATGAGCTGTGACAGCGAGGGCGACTGGGGCGACGCCCTGGGCGTGCGGGTGGTGGGTGGAGGTTGCCCAGGTGCCCCAGGCACCAGCGGGTGGCGTGAGTTTTGTTTTGTTGAACTTGGGCCAACCAGTGCTGAACTTGGATTCCAGTCACCAGCGAGCAGTCAGGCAAGGTAAAGGCAAGTGAGTGGGTGCGCATAGAGAGCGAGGAACCGAGCATCTTTGAAACCTCATGAAGCCTCATGGTAACTGGGAAGCAGGCCAAAAGCCATCAAAATTCCAGCCAACCGCGTGGCCACCTTTTTTGCGATTCACGGCCCAAGTCACCAGGGGATCTCCTCTCCTAGTCCATCACCCGGGGCGCGCCCGGCGAACAGAGACCCACCGACTGTGCCGTTTGCAAAAGGTGTGTGTGGTGCATGGATGTGCCGAGTGGGTTGGGTGATTCTAGTGGTTTGGAGCTGTTTTGACCACAACCATTGCAAGATAATGTGCTGTTGGGAGGCTAGTCGGCAAACCCACGCAATGTCATGGGTCATCATGTTCAGGTTTCTCAACCTCAGAGATCTCAGAGTGCTGCAAACGTGTTTTTTTTCCGCTCAACGACCGTGCTCACTGCCCCTGCTGGTCGGGCTGTTGTGCGGTTCCGACAGTTGACATTCAGATCAGTTCGTCATTGACCTCCAGTTGATTCATGCACCTGGTACCTCAAACACAATGAGGAGGCCCTTCGCCTGGTCAGCCCCCCTTGGGAGGCCTTCTCTTCCTTCGACCCCCAAAACCTACCCGCTCGACACGACGGGTACCGGGGCGCCGGGCACTGGAGACGGGTCGGCGCCAGAGGAGACCTCAGCGGCGCAGATCTTGTTGGCCAAGCTGCAGCACTCCAACGAAGGAGGAGCGGAGAGCCGAGCGGAGAGCCGAGCGGCGGAGCTGAGCGGAGCCCGCGGCGGAGCCGATCGTGCTTGGGGAAGAGCTGATTTGCCAGTCGTTTTATTGATGTTCTTTGGGGGGGGTGGTAGGCCCCTTGACCTGCAATGTAATAGTAGCAAGGTTTGATTGGGCTGCAGTATTCTGCAGTGCTTTGACACACATGGAGCGGCCGCTCCTACTTTGCTGCAGCAAATTCGATGGGAAGAGGCCTGTGTTTTGCATAGGGGTTGTGCATGGCCGTGCTTCTACCCAGAGTAGTCACCCCAAGAGCTCAAAAATGATAGAACATATTTCACAGCCCCAAGCGAAAGGGTCATCAGTTTGACACGTCCCATTTTCTATCCACAGGAGGATGCGGGTGTAACGCACATGTCTGCACTCATATACGCATGCAAAAAGTGTAAGTTGCGGGCACTGTTAGGCCGTGTGTTCAGGTTTCTCAGGCCACCACAATAGCGTGCCAGGCCCAGTGATCCCGGAGGCTGACTTCAGGACCTGGTCATTTTGAATCATTCAGTTGAACTGATGTGTTTGTGTGAAACATTAAACAACCACTTTGGACCGGATTGCTTGGTTGACGTCATTGAGTCATTGAGTATCATCGAGTCATGTGTTCTTTTTGTTGGACCAAAAACTGACACAGTTTTATACGGTCTTCTGACCTTTGGTCATCGATGATGGAAAGCTTTGCGGCCAAAGCTTGTGTTTTCTATAGTACATAGATGATTTGTTTGGTCATTTTTCCATGATGGATGATGATGATGGTATTTTGTGCCTTGAGATTTCTTTCCCTTGTGCCCTCAAAGACTCCAAGCGGGTGAGGGCCATGTTGAACAAGATTGGCTACGCGCCGCCGCCCAACATCCTCATTCAGGCATCTCCGGTTGCGTGTTGGGCGGCGATGGCGCCCAAAGATTTTCCGGAAGAGGGCACTCAGATGTTGTATTACGGTCCGTTCATTCGAGGGTTTGAGGACATTTGTAACACTAACATATGTCTTAATCCAAGTATGACCAGCACGAAGGACCCATGCGCGCGAGTGTTTTGATCGATTTCCAATCACTGTAGCCTTCTGTTTTCCTGACGACAACTCCTGAGGGATACCTCAAAACTGTCATTGCGTGCCCATTCACAAGACTGACTGCACACTGAAGTTCGAGTTCTCATCAGGAAATATCAGGAAAGCAAGAACAACCCAAGTAACTGTGTGCGAAAGAGGAATGCAGTTTCTCAGGCCGAGGTCGTGCGTGTTCTTTTTTGTTTAGGGGTAAAGACGGCAGAGGAACTTGAATTGTGCAAAGTGTTTGGTTTGCTTTTTGAGCAGCACTTCTCGCACACTGCATGCAGGCTCTTGCAATGTCTGCGGACACTACAGGCGTGGGCATATCACAAATTTCAGAAAGGACAAGCAACAAGAACATCGAGGAACCTACAAGCAACCTTCCACAGTTGAAGCAGCGTTTTCCCTCCACAGTCGACCAAGATGTTACTCTGTTACTGCACACTTGCGGTTTGCAGCCGGATCTCCCGTCTATTGGGATGGAGAGCAGCAGAAGTGAAACTCAGGTGGTACAGGTACTGAGCCCCCTGCTGACTAACTCTCCCTCCATCTTCCAGACACCAGAGGGAGTGCAGGGAGCTTTCGTTGACAGGAGATGCTCACACGGACATCTATGGAATCCTGAGTATTCTTCGCTTCATTCGCGTTGCTCGGGCCAGATCAGACCGATGAAGAGAGGTTTGAGAGAGGTGCTTTTGGTCACGGTTCTCTCAACACGCGGGTGTGTTTGGGTGTTTTGCACCCTTGTCACGAGTTGGAAGTGTTTTCCTCATGTAGACTCCAGCCAGTGAAACGAACAGGTCTCCTTATGAATTAGAGCCTGCTTTCTTGGGGCGAGGTTTGTAAAGGCCTCAGGGGCCCTGTATGCCTCGCGCGGAGTTCCAACATGCCACTCGCATCCGCGACTGCGTCCGCTGCTGCACGAACCCCGAGGAAAGCCAAGTCCGAAGCCTGAGCGGCTGGGAAACAGGGCGAAACCCCTTGGGGCTGATGCTTTGGGAAGAGATTGAACAGCCATCATCGTTGGTTTACACCCCCTGGAACTCAGATTGTGGAAGTGGAAATTGGCCCTGTGGAAGGTCATTTCCCTTTAGTTTGTGAATGTTTAGTTCAACCGTTGGGCGTTGGATAAGGACCCAGATGGGTCCCAAATTCCAGAGGGGTTTAGTGTGCTTTTATTGGTGCATAGAGGGGCTGCGGATGTTTTTACGCACAGTATCACACAGTCATTATTGTAAAACTAGTCAGTGAATCTCGTTGAATCAGTATGGTGGAAGATTGGGAAGATTGTGACCTCAAAATGCCCTCCCCACGGTCGTTATGCTTAGGAGGTCCAACTAGGTGTCATGTTCGCAGTTTTCACGCATGTATGGCTCACAGAGTAACAGGACTTTATGGCCCACACTCACTAATTCATATCCATGCACTACTGTAACTGGCATGATCGGGCTTCACACATGAACGTCCCTATTCCACAGACCAAGACAGGACGGTCGCCTGTCTTCCTCGCTGCTCAACGAGGTCAAGAAGCTGCGACAGTCTGCAGGGCTTTCGGACCAGCAGGCGGTGACGTGAAAGGATATGAAGGAGAAAGCAAGTGGTTTTTTGGAGGCTATCTATATAGGCACCTCTTGGAAGGTCCTGGGGTGGAGCAAATTCGCATGAAACCCATGGGAAAGGCCACAAATTAGAAGTTCATGACCCTTTCCTCTCAATCATCCATGGCCTAACAGAGAGAGCTTGCCATCATCGGTCCACATCTCCAGACTTCCGCAGATGCGTGGCGAAGCCAGCGTGCGTCTTCACTCCGCCTGGATCGTTCCTCACAGCTGGCGAACTAGTTGTTGATGTTTTTGGTTGTGCTCTTCTAGGCCTAGGCTCTACACTCCGAAAACTCACATAGACCCTGACTGTCTGGCCCTCTGGAAGAGTGGTTTTCCCTCTAGTCTTCCAGGGGTTTTCAGGGTCCATGTTAGTCTTCCAGGGTGTATATAATATAGACAATCTTATTTGTTGCGGTTGTTTCTCCTCACAGGTGGCGAAGATCCGCGCCAAGTTCAGCAACAAGTTGGAAGCGGGGAAGCGCGTGGAGCCGCAAGAGTTCGAGCCACTGAGCCGCAAGAGTGAACTCTTCGGCGGTTCGGGGTCTGAAGCCTGGCCTCGAGGAATCGATTTCTGGGCCGAGCTGGGTGGTGGAGAGAGACTTGGGTGGTGGGTCCAGGTCTTGCAAAGGGAGTTGGATTTGTCGGAGTTTTTTTTTGTTTTTCCGTGTGGTCCGTGCAACAGGGCAAGCAAATCTCTTGTCGTCTTTGTTTTTTTTCCGGACGTGTTTGGGAGATGAAGTGTCTTTGACGTGGAGTTTCGCGGCCGTGGCAGTGACCCGGCCGTTGTTCCCCCGTTCGGCGGGTTGGCGATCTTCGCGGCTTCGGCCCCGGCTGAGGCGCTTCATGTCGAACGATCTCTTCAAGAGCGCCAAGCATTCGGCCCCGGCCCAGCTGAAGATTCAAGAGCTGATCCAGGAGCTTCCAGCGACAGCGTCATCGTTTGGAATGGACATGGGCGGGGGAATGCCTTCGGGTGTTAGTGATGGCGCCTTCTTGAGGACAAACTGAACAAATGTGGTGTTTCCATGTAATCGGAGGCCTGGAAGGAGTTCTTTGGTTCAACAAGAGGGCGTCTTGTATCAGTTCATTCAACTGATGGGATGTAGCTGGACGCAGAAATGAAGGAAAACCCTACGATGAAGAGACATCTCATCGCGGCGCTCCGGAACTCACCAGGGGGTTCTTGAAGCGTTGAAGCCTCTCTACATGAATGTCGTGGTCTACCCTCTTTGCCCAGAGGGCTGCAGCTTCAATCCACATCCATCGTCCATCCACCAAATCCAGAAAAGTGGACGAAGATCAAACACATCGCATACACATCGCATCCTTAGGGCATCCTTAGAGGTCTCAAGTTCGAATCCTTACAGATCGGCAGAGGCTCTGTGAAAACGACGATCTCGGAGAAAAAACGACCCGCCGCTGACCAGGAGAACTTCGTGGACGGCAGCCTCGGTCTGTCGGAAATGTTCTGGGTGGTCCGCTTGTCCGACGCTCAGCGAGCGGAGCGCGACGAGTGTGGTCATCCATCAACGCGACGAGGGGGGGGGGGGATCCGGTGAATTGAGCAGTTGGGCGGCGAAACAAGAAAGCGTGGCTTGTCTCCTCTCATAGGTTGATGGTGATACGTTTGGCGGCTCCATAGGTGGCGAAGGACTTTCCATCATTGACATGAAAGTCTAGGCAAGCCCATCGTCACCATTGTGCTAGTGCAGGGAACTAATCACACTGCCTCTTTCCAAGGCTCTACTCATCATGACGAGGGGTTAGGACATCTTTGGACACATACATTTGTAGGTGTGAAGGGTTTGGATCCTCCTCCAGGTACGACGACGCACGGGCAGAGGCCACGATTAGCATGCCGCGGCTCTGGGGAGGGCGGTGCGCCTGTCCGGCCCTGTCCGGACAGCCAAAGAAAGAAAGAAGAATGGACATCCTTTGCAATCTGTAGAATTGAGGCTTCCAAGGAGAGAAAAGGAAGTTGGAGGCCTCCTGTAGCATTGAAGGACCTAATTATGTGGACCGTGGAAGTGGTGGAAGTGAGGAGGTGTGACGGTGTTGGTGGAGATATCGTGTTGGTGTGACGGTGTTTTCATAGATTCTACATATTTCTACCGTGTATATATCGTATATATATATATATTATACATTATTATATATATATATATGTGTGTGTGTGAGTGTGTGTGTATACATAGATTATATATAATACATTGCTGTAGGAATTTAGGATTTATAGACACTACTCATATGTTTGATCATTGTGGCTCGAACATGGGGTTACTGTACGTAGACCACACTTTTGTTCCAACCAATTCCATTACTGGGTTGGCCCGCCTGAGACAGTTGTTTGTCTTGCATGTGCTGCAGGAAGCGTGGGCACTGGAGGAGGAGATCATCCAAGATGCCAGGGGCCTTGCACTCTCAGGGTGGGAACTCCAAATCACTGAGGGCTGTAGCTCCAAACGTGTGGTATACTCTGGTATACAAGTCGAGTTGGCTGAAGTTCGCGAAACAACGAAACAATGGAAAAGAGATGGAAATACAGTCATGATGACCTCATGTATACCAGTTAGTTTTGTTGGCAATTGTCCTTTCAATTTCTCGTCTCAGAGTGACTCTGAGTGTCCTGTCGAGTCCTATAGGCCATGAAGCCCATGCCTCATCCATCCCCTTAGAGGTTGGATTCTGCCACTGGTCGCACCACTCTCCCAACGGCGGTGCCGCCCAACTTGCTCGTTGAGGCTGGGTTCACCACTGCACAGGTGCGAGGGGCAGACGCTTTCTGGGAAACCCTGGGACGCGGGGTTTATGATCGTACCTTTTTTTGCCCTGAAGACGGGGAAGCTGAAGGGTAAGGTAGAGCAAGTAAGAGTGGGTAAGGAAATTGAGACCAGGTGGGGTGATTAACTCTCCAACGGGCAAGTATGGGCAAGCTCTTTAGATTGCAGAAAGGAAACATAAGAAAACCAGATGAAGACACTTTGCTGTATATTTTTTTCTCAAGTTTAGGCCAGCAAGTTTAAGCTACGTCAGCTATGTTAAGTCTGTTAAGCCCTCTTTGGATCTCTTTGGTAGAATCACAGATTTCGAGAACATGTTGGACAGACTCAACTTCTTCCAATGCAAGGAGGAGCTATGAGGAGGGCTTTGCAGAACATTTATACACCCTCCGACCGACATAGAGGTGGACGACCCTGTGTTTCGCTGTTTGATGTTCGCAATTTGTCTTCGTCTCCATTCCATGCCCTTCACTTAGACTTGCAGCCTGCATGTATGCTGGATAAACCATGAAGCGGCTTTCATCATATGATTATTCACCCATCATTTACATCATGCTTTCAACAATGCCCTTTGGACAGGTCATTCCCGGATCAAGGGAGAACCACAAAATTCACCGTTCTCGACTCCCGTGACCGTTCGCTCTCTCAGCTTGCTCTCTGAAGCCCTTCCGCTTCGCTGGTCGAGGTGGCACAATTCCGAGAGTTCTTTGTGAAGGCCGAAGTGGACGGATGTGGAGTGCTCTCGGATCATCAGGCGCGGTGCCCAGACGTGCGGTGCCCGTGCGTGCGGTGCCCGTGCGGACGTGGCGAGCGCCAGCGAAGGCGGGCGGGCGGCCACCCAAGGTGTGGGCGATCCGTGCAAGGGAGGGAGGGAGGAATGATCAAAGCTGAGAAAATGGATGAAAAAGGGAGGATTATGATGAATTATGGATGGATTATGGATGGTTTTTAGAAGGACCACGTCCTGAGACACCAGTTGCCAACGACCAACGCCCGACCGCGCGAGCGACGTCGAGGTCACGGAGATTCTCACCGAGCTGAAGGCGACGAAAGCGCAGAAGGAGGGCGTCAATGAGGCCAGCAACGGCAGAATGCTTGGCCGTTGTCATTTGGCCATGCTTGGGCGAATCGTGGGGAATCACTCAGCAGAAAAAAATGGAGATGATAAAAGGCCAGGCTAACGAAAACGGAGTCTGGCTTCACATTGTGTTTTTGGTTTGTTGCTGTTTTGTCTTTGTCTTTGTCTTGGTCTTTGTCCTTGTCTTGTCTTGTCTTGTCTGCCTGTTTGTCTAAGCGACATGATGTTAGCAGCTGGGAGCAGTGCGAGCTGGAGACTTCTGAGCATTTGGCTCTCGAGCTCGGATTCCCGTTATCCCCACAAGTTTCGAAGCTACTTGGAGCAATGCTGCGCTTGGCAGTGGTGCTTCTAGGACTTATGGTGGGCTTCGGCGCCGAGCTTTGCCTCGATGATGGTGTGGCAGAAAGTGAGCGAGCATACATCCAGGCAGGTTCAGTGAATCTGAGGATGTTTCTTGAACTTTGCTTGATTCCTTTGATTGTCCTAAGGCATCTACGGAGCTGAGTCCTTTCTATCATGCAAGAAAGCGCACATGCACATGGGCCAAATGGCCAACTTCTCCACCCTTGAAGTTTCCTGAAGAAACATCACTTGCCAGTGTTTGAACCCTGCAATCAGGATGATGGTGGCAACAACATTCCAATCGGAGTCTTTGAAATGGCTTGGGCATCTTCCACCCTTCTTGCCGAGATGACAGCAGTAATGATTCGTGAGGTGCTTGGTTTCCACGCTCATGTAGATCCTACAGTGGGTGGGAATGGAGGTTCTCCGGTCTTCGCTTTGGCAGGATGTACCGACTTCAACGACAAAGTCAACAGGAAATGTGGCACCCAAGAAACAACGATTCATGTCAGCGTGGACTCCTGGATTGGAAGCTATGCTTCTACCCAGAATCAATTCGCCAAGGAGTATCCAAGACTTGCCGCGGAGGATTTGGGGAGCATGGGATATGTTGGCGAAGAATCCATGTACGTGAGCCAGGCTATTCTCAATGCAGCCTACAGCGAATCCGGTCTTGCTCTGGACTTCTACAAGAGCTACTTTGCTCGTCTCAGTGCTGCCTCCTTTCTCAAAACAGATTCCTGGAAAGCGACCCCCACGCCAATAGTAACTGCTTGTCTTTCAGTATTTGTGTTATTGGGCAGCGAATGCCAAGCATCGGGCAAAAAGCGACAATCAGGCGTGCTTTATGTAGACTCATCACAAGGCATACCCTTAGAAGTGGAACGGAAGCGAACACAGAACACTGTGCCATGTTTTGCCCGGGAAGACGTCTGACACCTGCTTGCTTGGTTAGACTTGCTGAACAGAGCTTTCGTACGTGAATTGTGAAATGTTTTCTGTCTGATGTTTTTTTTCTGACTTTGACAGCTCCCCGAGCGGAGGTTACAACACTTCGCATCATGATCCAAAGAGACTGGTCTGCTGAAAGGATGATTTCCTTGACTTTCACTCTTTTTGTGACTGTCTAATTATCCATTGACCCCAATCATGCAAGTGTCAGGAAATATTTTGGTTCCATCCACGATGTGAACTTGTCAGAGTTGGCGCTCTGCAGTGATACCGACCTGAGCGACCGGAACCAAATGTCGGACTATGCCAAGTATTCAGGCGACTATGACGGGGTCGTCAGCCAACCAGATGGCACATTTGTTGCCAAGTGTACAAACGACCGCTGGTGGTATGCCCCTGCATGTCGGGCCAATGCCTCCACGTGTATCCCTGTCTTCACGGCCGGGACCGGGTGGAAAGCGCAGCCCATGATGCAATGGTCCACGGCCTACGGAATGCCAACGGCTCTCGGAGTCTCGGGCGGGTGGTCGTTGTTCTTGAAGCATGTGCGGACTGTCCAGTGTCTACATTACTGGTGGGTTCCAGATTCGACCTTCATTCAAATGTTGCCAGAACAGCTGCTTTTTGCTCGTCACAGTGCCAATGAGTGGCTTGCTGGAGACAAGAAGACAGGAGGTCAAGGAAGCTATGTGTCCAAGATGGTCAGCAACAACTTGCAATCCAAGGCCGGCCGGGTTCGAGAGTTCCTTCGCAGCAACATTTAACAGGCTTTTCACATACTTGTGTCACTGTTCCGTTGTTTGCTGATCTGCCTGGCATCTAAACCACTGGCTGAATGTTCCATCTTCATGGTGAACTTCCCACCACGTTGCAAGGTTCGTAGCCAACATCAACTTTGAGCTGCCGGAAGTGCAAAATCTTCTCTTGGAGTTTGATGCGACAGGCTCAGCCTACAATGTTTCCTGCAAGTGGATTCGAAACAATCGAGCCAGGCAAGGATCAACGGGCGGCTCGTTTTCCGCCAGGTTTCTTCTACAATGAACCGTATACTGATACTTAGCCAATAATCCGCCCTCGATAGTCCTCGATTGGTTTTCATCTTTGGACCTCCTATCACAAACTTGGGCCCTGTAGACATGCGGAATGACATGGAATAACGGAAGATAGGTGGTTCATGATGGTTGCGCATTTTCCGATGAAACGTCAACCCAAACCTACCCAGCTTTCCCGTTTCCCTTATCAAGGTGGTCAGCCTGGAAGCCAAAGCTGACCAGCTGCTACGAAGGCTTCGGGTTGGTTGACGCCTCCGGAGCTTTTGTGCCCAACAGGACACTTGCCGTTGGATGCGGCCTGTGCCAAGCAGGAACTGCATCTGAGGAGCTCATTGATGATGAGGGAAGGACTTTCCAATGCAAGCAATGTCCTCCTGGCTACAGCCAATCGAACACTTACTCCACCAAATGTGAACCGTGCCCAAAGGGCACTTCGGCGAGCATGTTTGGAAGCATCTCATGCACTCCCTGCAACGAAGGAGAGTATCAACCGGATACAGCTCAGACTTCATGTATCCCTTGTGATGCTTCCCGAACAACCCTGCTCTTGGGCGCGTCATCGTTGGCAGATTGCGTGTGCCAGGCAGGGAAAATCGAGCAGCTCTCCACTTGTGAGGATTGCAGTGAGGAAAGCATGCATTGCCCCAAGGGAAGCACCGTTGCGATGCTTGTAGCAGCCCAAGGAACGACCGACATAAGGGGCCCTTTTGTGAAGAAAGGCTTCTTTAGCGCGCTGCATTTGCTTCAACAAGGTTTGGAGATGTTTGGAGTTCGTATACGCTCTTGAACCCTCCAACACGCCCCAGTATTTAGCAGGACTTTTAGAACCCACCTGTAGAAACATAAGGTTGGTGATCCCAAAGGCCGTTCACTTTGACTTGGTTGTTGACGTACCGCGGGCTGCGCTGAGGCAATCCACTCGTACCTCTTGACACTTACAAATGTACCGCGGAGCTCTTTTGCCCCGGTGGCTCCCCCGGTCAATGCTTCGGGGATCGTGAAGGTTTGACTTGTGGCGACTGCGCTGATGGACATTTCTGGGGTTCCGACCAATGTGAGCCTTGTGGAGCGGTCCCGGTTGCATGGGCCTTCTCGGTGACTATGGTTGTGCTTGGAGTCTGTGGCTCTTACTATATGCTGACATCCAGCTATACGGCGAAGGCCAGTGTGATGATGTCCACCACAGCAGCCTTGGGAATGCTTGTGGCCTTATTCCAGAACTTGGGTGTCTTGAACACAGTTGCTGTTCCATGGCCAGCTGGCTTGGAAGCAATCCTGAGCTTTGCCTCAATCTTTACCTTCAACCTTGATGCTCTTGGCTTTAGTTGTGCTGCTGGAAGCAATGTCGCCCGGTACGTCAGCACGGCCTCGTTCTTTTGGATTGTGGTTCTTGCGTTGCCCCTTGTGGGTTTGCTCACGAACTTCATTCCAATTCTGAATCGCCGCAAGCTCGCGTGGGAGAAGAACAAAACCATCAGCACCACGGGACAGTTCTTGCAGGTCGGCTTCACGACCATGTGCAATGTCGGCCTCATGCCTTTCATGTGCTACAGACATCCTACCGGTCAAGCGAGTATCTTGAAGTACCCGAATGTATTCTGTGGCACAGATGAGCACGCTCTTTGGAGTGAGACAACAATGTTTTGCAACCATAGTTTTTTATCCAAATCATCCCATCATCTCACCTCCAACATCATTCATTGGCACAGCATGACCAAGGTGATCATGCGGGTCTTTGGGGTGTTCGTGCTCATTCTGGCCTTCACCTTCTTCACAGCAGCTTGCTACGCTGCATATCAAGCACCAAAATGGTCAGGCAAACCAAGGCCCAGGGTTTCCGCGCGGAACCGCCCTAACTCTTCCGATGTAGCGAAGGGTTCTCGTCAAACCTCGGGGGTCTGGGGGTAGAGCCTTGTTCGCGACTCGTTGTTTGAGCGACCGCAACCGTTGTCAACCGTCCGCCGCCGTTCGCGGTAGGTCGCTAAGGCGCTGCCATTGGGGGAAGCTTTTGGAGAGGGTTTTGGATGGAAGGGTGACGTGTCAGATTCGTGTGAAATAGCGAGGAATCGTGTGGAAACGTAAGATGTTGAAGTGTGGACAATGATTTCACTGCGCAGGTGCAGCATTTGGTGAGATCCGCACTTTTCTGCGTAGTCACATTTTGCAGACTCGACATGTGAGTTTTTGAAGAAGTCTTGTACGAAACGCTCGCTTTGCAGACTTGAAGTGTCTCACAAGAGTGTCCTACAAGAATGGCCGACAAGAGTGCACAAGAGTGTCCCACAAAGGATTCCGACAGGAATGTGTCCTACAAGGGTGTCCCACACAAGTGTCTCCTACAAGAGTGTCAAAAACTGTATTAGTGGGCACGTGTTTGCATACGGGTTCGTGGGTCCCATCTTGTTTTTTTAAGAAAAGTACCCGCAAGAGTTCGGCCTTGCAAGGTGTGAACCGATTTTTTGTTGCCAAGTTGCGCGTGTTTTTCTTTCTTCTCTTTTTAGACACGGACTTGATTCGATCAACTGCATGATCTGCATGGCCAGCAGCTGAAACACAAGATTCACAAACAAGCAGCTTTGGCCATGTTGACCGTGTGCGAAGGTACTGTGCATTGGCCGAGTGGAAATGAAGTGCAAGGTGACGCATGTGTCACAACACCGGACACCATAGCACTCACAGCACCGGACACCAGTGCATTTGATACCACGCCCTGACATCCCCCAAGCGCAGCAGATCAACGTAGCACACAACAATACCAAAGATGTGTAGAAACCACGAGGTGCTTCACATCGCCATGTTGCTGCATGTAAAGCGACAGCCTTTCTTCAAACGTAGATCAACACTTAGATGTTGTTGTTTTGCACGGTATCTGCTGCGCTTGACTGAAACTTTTTTTCCCACTCATGCTTCAACTTTCAAGCCAGGCTGGCCGCCATTCGTTTCTTGATCTTCCGCTTCCGGCCCAACGTGTGGTATTTTGGTTTGGTCCTCTTGGCTCGAGGACCCTTGCTGTCCATGCCAGGTGTGATAGCGACCAACATGCCCAGCTTGCAACTCCACTGCGCAATGAAGATGTTTTCGGTTTATGAATCATACGAAGAGAGTCTCACACCACCGTCTGATCGCACGTGAAACCGTTGAGAGAGGGAAGACTGTGCAGCTCAGGCAACTTACGCTGATGCACATGATCTTGCTTGGGTCTCTTTGCCTTCAGTTGTGGTTCCTGCCTTGGAAATCTCCAATCCTGAACCTGGTCGACGGAGTCTCAGTGTCGCTCCTTGTGATGCTGTTGGCTGGGTCTCTTGGATATGCGGACAGCAGTGGGGAAGAAGCCACACGTGTTCTGGCGACGTTCGGAACCGTCATCTCTTCTTTGATGGTGGCCATCCTTGGAGGCATGGTGATGCTTGGCCTAACTGCTCTCGTCTACCGTTCAGCGCTGGGTAGCTCAAAGGAACTGCGCGTCATGAACCTTGGCAAGGTCCCAGAAGAGAAGGATGTCTTTCAAAGTCTCCTTGATGTGGCGACCTTTCTCAAGGAAGATGGACAGGGCAAGGAGGATAAATTCATCGACGACTTGGGCAAGCTCTCAGTCTATGACATTGGCACCATCACCCGTGCAATGAACATTTTGGCCGACGACTTGAACATGGTCGTCAGCCAGAACGGCAGCATTCGCAAGAGTTCCTCCCGCCGCATTGCCACCGGATCACGGTCGATCAGGAGAACAACGAACCGCGGGGTGGGAAGCCGGAGCGAGTGTGTCAAACACCCGAGCAGATCTCAGATCACCACAGAAGTATGAGTGCATTCAATTAATGAGTCTTAGATAATCTTACATAGTCTTCTATCCTTTTTGCAAGGGGTCTTCACTTGCTCTCTATCCAACAATCACGGTTTGGTGGAATGAGGATTTTTCAGTCTTCCTGAACCAGGGCCAGGCGTTTGCTGAGAATCTCCACTCTTAACAGCAACTGTGGTAGGAAAAACAAGGGCAGTGTTTGATACGCCGCCCTGCAACTGTGTGCGCGGTTGATTTTTGTGTGATGTTGGATCCTGATTAGTAAAGGGGTCCTCTATAATGCTAAATTTTTCCAAATTTATTCAGACCCCCATGATTGAAAAATGGGTCCTGAATAATGCTAATTTTTTGGGGGGACCCTAAATTTTTAAATTGTAAACCTAATTAACAAAGGTTTGAATTCCTTCTGAGGCCAATGATTATGATTCATCAGCTGATTTAGCTTTCTCTAGGTTTCTTCAATACTGACAGCTGACCAAAACCACTAATTCCTAATTAAGCCCTTTATAAAACATTGCTCCTAAACAAATTTTCAAGGTAGTAGACCAGGAAGGCACCTGATCCTCAATAATGGATTTGTTTTTGGGTTCTCAATTGTGAAAAAACGTAAAAAAACTGCTCATGGAATCTTCTTTTACTTAGGAAGCCATGGAAGCTGAGGAAGAAGCTGAAAGCTTGGGGCTTCTCTTGAGCTGAAGATCTGAGGCTGCAAAGCAAAAGGATTGCTGAGAACAATTACAAAGCACCTGAGAAAGGAAGCTGAATACAATCTATGAAAGGAAAATGAATACTACAATCAATTACAAAAAGGAATTCTCACAGGAATCCAGATTTGTTTTGGTGATAGTTTATTATAGAGGGTCTCCTGTTTGTTTGAGGGGAGGGGGGGGGCCTTTACTAATTGGTCCGTTGAACGTTGAGTTTTCATTCGCATTTATTTTTATAGATGTTTCTTGGAAGTTTGTAGCCGGTGCATCCAATATCATATCATGTTTTCCCAAGTCGAATGCTTTTGTGGTGGGTAGGAGCGTCAAGAAAGTTGTGAAAAGGAGTTGTTCCACTGGAAGGTCACAAGGGGAACTGCACGCATCGGTCTGGTTTCTCTGCTTCAGTCCACCGGTCCCATCCACGGGTCCCATCAAGGGGGCATGCAAACCAGGTGCTTCCATTGCCACGAGCTTTCCAAAAATTCCAGATCCCAGTGTTTTCTTAGTTCAACACTTTCTGCTGCAGGTGCCCATGTAGGTTGGAACCTACACAAACCTTGCCACAAGCTGTCAAGTTGCAGGGTGCCTGCAGTGACCCAGCGGCCGTGCATCTTTCTTTTATAGCTTTGATTGAAGACTGTTGGCGGCCATGAGCAACTTCCACGAATCCAAACCTTTTGGTTTTCAAGTCCTGTTTTGCGTCTTGAAGGCTGTCGCCCTGTCTCCACAAATGATCGAAGAGGGCGGAACCTTGTGCAGCTTGGATCCCCAAACATCTGCTCAATTCTCCACCGGTGGTCTGCCTTTGCTCACAGATGTCAAGGCTTCATACAGATCGTACAGTTGATGTACATACATATCGACATTTGCATCAAATCCTGTGACTCATCAGTGTATATCTAGCTAGCTAATTATCTACCTACTGTATGTAAACAAGCTTCGGTGGGATCAACTTGGGCTTAAGAGGCTTCACAAGGATTAAGCCACACGCCCGACACGACACCCCCCCAAGATGCAATTGTGGAACCAGGCAGTATTTGGGCGTCTTCACTCCAGGATGCTTGCGAGACCAATTTCCATGCACTGCTTTTTGCAGATACCTGCAACACCATTAGTCCCCAACCGAAACAGCAACGGTCACTACTTCTTGGGCCTTCATGTAAGAAACTTTGGACATACACCGTGTCATCAAAAGAACAATGTCCTGTTCGCATGTAAATTTAAGTCCACCTTCCCGTGTGAGATACGTGCGTATGAAAACAAACTACATCGAACAAACCGTGTCCACGTGTGTGAAATATGAACAAGTCAACTTTACATTACCACAAACTTATCGTTACGTGTCGAAAAACATGGCGTGCCTGGTCAAGCTTCCATCTCTCTTTTTGAGCATGTCGGTTCTTTTCTTGCCATGCTGAAGTGCAGTTCTGATCTGATCGTGTCAAAACCAACCAGATCTCCAAGGATACAACCACCGACTGTAGTTCGCTGTGTTGCTTGAAATGAAAAATTCATCCGTCTGTCGAAATCCGACAACGAACCCATTGCCACCAGTTCTGTGGCCAGTTTCGTGATCCAAAAACCAAACATAAGCAGGGTCCATAAAGGGAGGCATATGCATACAACCTCGTGCCACGAAAGCGACTCGTTTCCTCTCACCAGGAGCTCTGCCAGTCAAGATGGCAAGGCGGACCCCGAGAAGGCAACGAGTGCTGCACCAGAGAGTTCCGCACCAGCTGAGGTGAACCAGAGCGAAATGGTGTAAACCACTTTTGGGTCTACACAACGGTCCTTGGAGCTTGTTCGGGCTGGGTTGGAGATTAATAGTCTCAGTGCATGCATGTGTGTAGTGTAGTGCTGTAAGAATCGAAGTGAAAAACGATGACGATTTTCCTTTGCAAGCAAGGTATTTTTCATGCATTCTCCACTTTCATGCGTTTTGGAAGAAGGGTCAATGGACCGGGTGAGAAAGATCAACTGCAAGCCCCACTCACTCCAGGCCGTGCTGGGCGAAGAACTCGCCCTTTTGTTTATGTTGAGTGGGTGTGGGTCAGAAACCCTCGCACGCCCTGGTTCACGAAAAAAGCTTTCACCATGCTGAAGCGATCTCATGCATTTGGGGTTTATGTGGTTTTTGACCCACGCTCGAGTTTCCCCTGTCAGTGACAGGGTCATTTGGACTGCTTGCTCACTTGCCAACGGTTCGAACAACAGTAGTTTGGCAGGCCGTTAGAGGCTCACGAGAAGACCCGTATTGTGGGGGCGTTTTGTTTTGGAGGAAGAAGACTTCTCAAGACTCAGGGGTTTGTGGAGCCTTCCACCTTCCAAGCTACAGTGGCAGCTACGGTGCCTGTTCAATCCTTGTCGGGTGTGCCAGAGAGGGTCAAAAGAAAGCTTTGGCTCTTGGCTCTCGCGGTTCCCCTGGAATGTTTTGCTCACCCTGCTCCTGTAGTTTGCGAAAAAGCGCTGCGCGGACAGGGTAAATTGGCGACGGTTGCATTTGGGAGGTTGGAAACCATCACTTTGAAGTTTGGAGTCAGCCTTCCCGGTTTGCCTGGGTTTGCCCAAACCAGGCTGCAACCGTGAATTTGTGCGGAGATGGAGTCAGCCGACAGCTCAAAGCTTGTGCTGGCTCTCTAGTGTGTTGATGTGGCCCAACCATGGCGAAGAAGTCTGTTGAGATTTCTATCTCGCTGCTAGTGCAGTTCATTCTGCGACTGGTCCACATCGAAGGTTGGGAGAGGCAAAAAGTCGTAAGCTGCGTTACGATGCTATATTTTTGGTCCTGCTGTCCTGCTTATTGATTGGCATTTGCGACTTTCTTGTCATTGTCTCATTGTCCTGTGGTTGATACATAGAAATGGTCTGAGAGCGCCTCCTCTTGTCAAGTTGAATTGTTGGGAGAGGGCCCTACTAAAACAAGATAGGTGTGCCCGCTCCCTGAGAGGGGACTATAGACTATAGATTTCGTGGAGGCTTTGCTAGTTTGGGGAGGTGTAGCCATGCGATACCATGGAAAAACCGAACACATTGCATGATTGAAAGCATCTTTGCTTATATATTCTCCCCCGCTGGCGATCGCCAGGCGCTGGAAGCGATGGAAGGTGCCCAGGCGCCACAGAGCGCCAGGGTGGCGCCATGTAGCCATGGTTCGTGTGGGAGGAAGGGCCCTGCCGTTGAAGTAGGCCTTCCTGGAGGGGAAGTGGTCCAGTGGTTGAAGTTTACAACCAGGAGGTTGTTCTTATGCACCAGGTAACTCATGCAAATGACCAAGAATAGACCTGCGGCAAGCCCAATCACATTCGAATTACTGTATTTGTTCAGCCATGTTGCCTGGCAATTTCCAGTGCCGACCTGCGCCAAATGTTTCCGGTGTGTCAATTGTACTTTCAGTGTGTCCTACTGGACCCAACCAACCTGGGTGAATACACTCCACAAAATGAGGACTGTCAGATTGCCATTTCCCAACATGGGGTTTGTCAGATTGCTGTCAGGTTGATTTACATTGCATTTGGTTCAGCCAGGGTGCACCAGGGGTACAGGCCACAAATACAGTTCTCGACCTTTGGCAGCCGCAAATCCCGGTTCACATCTCCAGTGAACATGGATGTTCAAATATGGACTCAGAGATGGCCTTAGCTGCTGATACCTAATAACCTAACCCCAAGTTTCTTTCTGTTACTTTTTCCAGCAGCACAGGCGCAAACATGGGCAACATGCGCCACCTTTCCACGAACTCCCTAGTGTTTTGAACACGTGCATCGTCTTCCCACGACGACGGAGGAAACGATTGACTTCCCGAACTTCCTGCGGTTGATGGGCATTGCAGCCAAGAAGGACAGTTGGAAGAAGTTGGAAGACGCATGCGGAAAACTCACTCACGGGAACAGGTGTATAGCTAGATATGTGTATAAGATGCATGGAGGAAGTGGCATCGAGTTTCACGGAACGGTTCTTGGGACTGTGGTGAGTTCAGTCCTTGGTGGCGTTCCAGTCGGCGGGTGCCGGAATCGAGCGACACGATGTGCACCCGCCCCCGGTTCACGAAACGGGGGTCCTGGTTGGTGATCAGGGTTTCTGTCATGTGAGGATTGGAGCTAGTTTCGATGGTTTGGGTCGGCCTTCCCCTATAGTTGGTTCAGATATGGAAATTAAGAGGTTCCAGAGGCCTGTTTCCTCGGACCATCCCCACAAAGTGCCACAAAGTCGTCAACAGATGCGGTCCATCACGTCCATGTGGTTGGTCCGTTTGGGACGCTCTTAGGATGCTCCGTCACACTGTGAAGCTGTGAAGCTCTTTGAACGGGAGACTGCCACCTGTAGATGCATGCAATGCATGCAACACATAATGGAGTCTTTGCTCCGTTCGTAGTAAGGCCAGGAGCCCCTACAAGTAGTAGCTTCTTGTTACTACTAGTAAGGCACTTGTTACTAGTAGCGATGTTCCACATGTAACACTTCCAAGACTCGCAACTCTAGGAGCTCGTATCCAGATGTAGCGGGTCGACGTTGCATCGAGGCCACATCTGACCCTTTTGGGTTCGATGTTCTCCGTCCGCGCAGGGCAAGTTGCTGAACTGAGCGGTCTCCGAGGTCCACGGCGTTTCACCTGGTCGTTTGCACCGCCCGGCCCGAAGGGCACCGTCAGGGCACCGTCTCACCGGTTGTTGGTCGGAACAAAAGGCCACCTAAAGGCAGGGCGCCAGCTGGGCGGCAGCTTGGGGGATCTTCGGACGTTGGTGGCCTTGACACATCACCGCGGGGCACTTTGAAAGCATCAAGAAACCACTGAGACCGTTGCCTGTGGTCGTTTCTTTTAAAAGACGTTTTGAGGGGCATACTGGCTGTCGACATCTCCAGCTCCACCGCGCAAAATACGGGATTTTAGGGCAAAGACGTTCGGTGGCTGGCTGAACGCGTTCCCTTCGCAGGTCCTCCCAGGCCCGCTTCGGCGGACGCAGGCCACCCGGCGCGAGGAACGGCGGTAGGTTTCTGGCACATGAAGCGCCGGGTCGGACTCTACGTTTGGTGGCCCTCCCTCCACAAAGAAAGTGGAGTCTGAACATGTTTGTTTTGAAGACTTTTTGATGTCTTTTTCCTTTTGACTATAGTATAGGCAGTATAGGCAGGCACTTTGTCACCAGGCGATTCCCATGCCCATGAAATGAGTCCCGACACCACTGGCTTTTTCTCAATTCACGCTTTTCATTGGCCACGCATGTGTTTAATTCACGCCTGATGAGATGCCCGTTGCCTCTTCGCTTCGCGTCGCGGGGTGTGTTTAGACCCTGACGTGCCCAGACAGTTTAGTGGTGAGGAGGAAGTTTCACACCCCACTAACCATGGTCACCACTGGCCCTTTTTGGTCCTGCTCGCAGACAAAGCGTTCGCCGGTGTTGGTGTGAGTGTAGGGTGTCTTTCTCCTTACTTGCCCGTGCCACCAACTGATCTCACACCAATCTGCTCCGGAAAGACCTCTTGTCGAACCGCAGTCTCCACTTGTTCAAACGCGCGCGTTGTCTCGGCATCCGCGAACTAAGCTGCTAGCGCTATCCATGGCTTTTCGCCTTTGCTTTTTCGTCTTCCTGAACTTCTTGACTTTCAGCTGGGCTGCACCAGAGGTTGCTGGGCAAAAGATGCTCTAGTTTTGGTGAGCACTCAGGGTGGAGGAGGAACAGGATTCAAACATTTGGACTGGACTGAGTCCGTGTAAAGCATGCTTGTTGAACATTCGCGCGTGATTCCGCATCCAGAATCGTAAGGGCCCAGGGTTCATGCTGTGAAGTTGAAGGTTTTTCGTGTACATATTGCGCTTAGACTGGTTGCAAGATGTAAAGCTTTCAGCCGTGTGGCTGGCCTTAGCTACAATGTTAGTTTCCTACTAGATTTTCTGGCCCCTACTCTTCTGCAGATCAACATGGGCTTGGTTGTAGAAGAAACTCGTCTTCCAGGGGGTCCATGTTCACAGTCCATGCTTTTCCGTGGCAAAGAGTGGCGGCACACACCTGCATCACACAGTCCTAGTCCCCAGTAAAATGAGCAACGAGTCTTGTGTGAATGCACGTTTCATCCTGTGGACACACCAGGGATGCCGCGCGCTGCTTCGCCCGCCACCGTCCTCCCGTCCTGACGCCGTGGCCCGCGCAGGCTCCGGTGGAAGAGAGCCTCAGCGCCGACGACGACTGCTCCGACGCGGAGACCTGCGCGCTGCCCGGGGCACCCAGACGGCGGACGGCGTGCGCCGCGGGCGGGAGGGCGTGACGTGGCGGTCGGATGCAGCGGTGACAGGGTGTGTTTTGCAGGGCTACTGAATTTGGGTGGTCAGATTTGAGTTCTGAATACTGAAATGATGCGAACTCAGAACTATATCGAGGAGAATGGTGTTAAGTGTTGAGTTTTTTCCGAAGCCGGAAATAGGTTCCACAAACAGTCAGACCCATTGCTGCTTCCATGATGTGGGATTGTGGGATGATGTCAAAGATTGTACGCATGGTGGTCCTGTCGCTTGAAGTTGTCGGTTTCCTCCAACCCAGTGATTAACACCGCACACCCTGAGAGTTCCTCAACATGAGGACCCACCAAGATCCGCGACAGGAAGGTGTTCCATCAGACTGGACGGTGGCAGGTTGGTGTGGACAGGACTGGACGGTGGATTCTACACCACTCCCAAGCAGCCTTTCGTCTCGGTTCGGTCCAAGATGGTTCAACATCCGCCTGGGAGCTGTGAGTAGCTGGGAGTTAACGTACTTGTATCGAGCCTAAGGCTCAGAGGCTTAGAGTTCTGATGGCTTCTGAAGGGTTCTGAAGGGGTCCGATCTGGCCCTGCGCTCCTTTCAGGAACGCCCTGCAGCTGAGACGCTGCCCCTTTGACTTCGACCATGACCGACCCGGCGCCGGGCGCGGAGTTTCGCACACCGAATCCCTCGTTGAGTCGGATTCGGTGTGACTTGGGAGTCAGATTGGTTCTGTTTGCACGCGCACACATGGGTGAAAGAGGCGTTGGGTTTTTTGTGACGGATCATTGGATTGAGAATGGATGGCTTTGGGTTCGGCTCGAGCATGTTGTGGATTACAGTTTGCTGGAGAGTGGGTCCAGGAACATGGATTGTGGCATTGAAGCAATATTTTAGCTATTGCATGCTATTGCCACTGGGTCAAGATGCTTCCTGAGATGTGTTTTTCTTTCATCCTTTGGTATGAATTCTTTCTACGATCTGGCACTCTACGAAGTGTTTTGGGACTTTATTGTTTCCGGAGCAAAATGAATGACACCGTCAGGACGTCAAGGACACCATCAAGACAATGGCCAAAGAAATTGACGCCTTGAACAACAAGCTGGTGTCCTGGCAGTGGTGGAACTGCAATTGCCAAATTGCTCTTAAGATGTGGCAAGGGTAGTTTGTTTTTTCATTTTTTCCCTTCATGTAACGCGTGTTTAATGCTCTTGGTGTTCAGGACCCGGACCGATATGAGTTTGAGTCTCCATGAGGCAACCTACCTGCCACTATCTACCGCCGACTCGTAGGAATATGTATCAGATTTATCAACTGTGTTAGATTTTTAGATGCACTTGACCAATCTTGACCACTCTCCTGCCGAGTTTCAGGTGCGGTTGTGACGCTTCAGAGTTCACTGCGAGGGGCGGTAGAGGGTGTGTGACCGTGGTTGGCTGGAGAGGTTTTTGCTCCGAAACTCTCTTTTAAAACCCTTCTAATTTCCCAATGGCACGACTCGTGGTTGGCGTGAGGGAATGGACTCACCTTATACAGCCAGGCTGCCAGGCTCCTTCCCACTTCGCACCGGTCAGCCATTCAGAGCTGACTCAAACGCCCAGTTCCCACCCCGGTCCTGCCTCGGTCCCGGTGCGAAGATGGCCTCAGGTGGTGTTGGTGGCAAAGGCCATGCGAACCGCGTCCAAGGACGGCTACGAACGGAGCGGTCAGGGCATCGCTGCTAGGAGCAAGGGCAATACTGGCAATACTACTAGGAGCATTCGCCACTAACAAGCAGCTACGTTCGGGGCTCCTGGCCTTACTACGAACGGAACAATGAACGCTACGAACGGAGCGACGGACCACACCGGTCCGACCGAGCCAGGTTATAGACCCAGATCCGAACGGGCCCAAGGCATCACGCCGAACGGGAGACCCAGGGTTCCCATTGGCTTCCTGTGGCTTCATTGCATGGCTTTGTGGTGCTGAACGTAGCTCGTAGAGACATTGAGTAACACCCACATCCGATTTTCTCCCTGTGCTGATCTGGACAGTTTGCAAGAGTACGTAGGCCAACGTAGGCCTTACATGGGCCTAACATGTCCTAACTATCAAGTAAGTCCCTGCCATCCCCAACTCATTCTGCGGGGCCCCTTGTGGCCAGATCTGAGCACGACCCTCTTTGCAGAGCTCCGCTCCACTCCGCAGCTTCGCTTCCAGCCACGTGCCCCACTTGTACGCGCCGCACACGTTAGGACGACTTCAGCCATTTGGTGAATGCCACCGCCGATGCCGCGGTCGTGCTCGAGGGAGTGGCGCCCAGGCCCACGGGAGAGAGGCGTTGGTGGAGCTTCTGTCGGAGTTTGCGATCAGGCATAGAACAAAAAGGTGTTTGGTAGACGCTTCGGTAAGCGTTAGTGGCCTCGTGCCACTCGTTGGAGCATTAACGAAGCCATCACAAGTTTGCACCCCAAAGAAGCAGGCACAACATGACATACATCTTTTTGGGGGTTCTTTTCGCGACGCAGGTACATGACCTTGACCAACAAGACCAGCGCAGTCTTGCAAGATGCAGGCGCTAGTCCGGACCCAGCTGTTCACTCGCTGTGGAAGGAATGTGGAAGGACAGCGATGAATCGCTACGTCGAATCGTAGGGCGAGAGTTAACGGATTCCCATGTTTCTATGTAGGGTGAATAGACCCACAATGATTAGACTAGTCAAAGGCTCAGCACCGGAATTTGAGGGCGAATTCTTAAAGCTGCGGAGGTGGTCCTTTCGAAGCCTATTTGATGCTACTTGCGACAAGCGGCATTGGGTGGGTCCAACTTATCAACTGACCTCCTGCCTGACAAATGATGAATTCAAGTGAGGCGCAAGATTTCAGAGGTGAACTCCCTCGGAAGTGATTCTCCTCAACGAAGAACAAAGACGCATTGTGTAGTATGTATGTTTTAGTTATACTTTATTTTACCTCTAGGGGCTCATTCTACATACTGTATACAGCACAAGTTGCACAGACGGATGGCCATGGATGCCAGTTTGATTGATTATTGTACATCATTGTGCCACCTATATGTTGTGACTTTGACTAGAGTCATTTGCTGTGAGCAGCCTCATAATGCAACTACTACATGTGAGTTGTTTCGGACATCTTCCATGTTCTTTCTATTTGCTGCAGGATGCCTCGCACGTGTGTCGCTCGCAGTGATGTGATGTTCCAAGCTCACCACTTGCCATACTCAAAACACTCTGCGTAGATAGAGACCACTGCCGCCAACTTCCAGGCATTGATGTCTACGGCGGCAAGGCCGCGGAGGAACAGGCAACCTGGCACCAAGCACCCAAGGGCCCCCCAACATGTGGGTCATGGCACCTGGAGCCCCGAACTCACCCTGGTAGGTTCACCATATAGTAACAAGTGCCACGCTAGTAGTAAGAAGTGCCTTACTAGTAGTAACAAGAAGCTATTAGCTTCTTGTTTCCAATAGCAAACATTGTTATTACTAGTAAGGCACTTGTTACTAGAAGCGATGCACTTGTTCCTAGTAGCTTCTTGTCGCTACCATGTGACAGGTATAGTCGATTCTGTTCTTCCCGTCGCTGGGACGTCTCCCCAGCTCCCCCGGTTTGGACCCACCGCGTGACCGACAGGGTTGAAGTTCAATTCCAGCGATGCGGTCCCCGGAACCTCTTTCTTTGCGCCGCTGGTATTCCAGTATTCCGCTCCCAGGTGTCCTTGGAGAAGGGGGCTCACCGGGCTAACCGTGAAAATGTTGCTTTGCGCCATGCTCCTTTTCCGAAACTCTATGACACTCCCTTCTTCGCGCCTCCGAGACGCGGTGCTTCTTGCCGCCCAACGGTGCTTCTTCGAATGGTGAGACGTCGCCGCGGGCGTCGAGGCCTCCCTGCTGCGGATGCAAAAGTTCATGTCCGACCACGCCGGAGAGGTCCTGACGAACATCGCCACCTGGCTGGGTCGAGAAAAACAGAACGAGGACAAACGGACGGAGAGTGGCCGCAGGGGTGGCAGGGATGTTTGATGTCTCAGACATCCTTGGTGGCTGTTGGGAGCGGACTAGGAGGGTTTGGCGGCTTGGCGAAGCGAACTGTTGCAATTTGCTGAAGAAAAAAAACAACATTTCCAGGAGGCACTTGACCTAACTGAAAGCCGAAAGCGGATCTTTACCCAAATCCTGGCATTCACCACCTGGACCTACACCTCTCGTTGTCATTGTCATTGAGTCATTACCCCATTGTACCCAAAAAACACTGACAAAAACAAGAAACAGAACAACAGCAGATAAGAAACAGTATTAAACAGCACATTGAACACGACAGAAAAGCACATTGCAAACACGACAGAAATGTTTGTTCAAAACTTAACGAGAAACCGATGCCCCGACACCGAGGCTGCGGCCCGCACCAGCAAAGGAGACACCGGTGCCCCGGTGTACTTTGAGCCGTCGCCAGCGCGCCGTCGGTGTGGGGGAACTCATATGCTCCTAGTAGCGTCCTTGTTCCTAGTAGCGATGCCCTTTGCTCCTAGTAACTTAGCTTCTTGCTATGTATGTGGCTTTTGGATGTTTTTGGGCCGTGTTTCAGCAGGTTATTGTTGCGGTGTCACTGCTACTTAGGTAGGTGACAGAAGCTAAATTGGTTTAGGTTTTGAACTTGAGGTTCTGGTAGGATCTAGATCGGTATTTAATGTGTAATAAATGCACCACGGGTCATAGGTAAATGAGGGTAGCCCTTGGAGGTTGTTGCAATCCTACAGAAAGTAGGAACCTGAGTGGCATTCTGCGTTGAAGTGCTGTAAGGCCTAAGGCCTACAAGGGGCCTGTCTCAAGGTATTTTTCGGGCATCAACACCTTCACGGTCATATTGGAGGGTACCACTCATATTTTGCCCATAGCGACGCAAATTTCCACAAAACCGACATGCCCTTCACGTTGAGTATGAATCGTGTGTGGGGCATTGTTTTGCCACAGATACGATGTCCAAGGCATTTTGACAGGCACGGACAGGGATACGAAATGTACGGCACGGACCGCCGCCCTGAGGGAATCCAGATCAGAACTTGTATGAAAGCGCGTGATGAATCATGCATATGGCATAATGCTGGCATAATGCAAAGTGAAACATGCATATCATAACATCAAACAACATCTTGAGATCTCAGAGACGTATGGATGAATCCCTGCATGGCATGCATATGATACAGTACGCACGCAAAAAAACACCGGAATCACAGTGAATCACATGCCCACATTCGGGATGCTGGTCCTGTAAAGGATGCATGTTCGGGAGGTCCTGTATGTCTCTGGTCCCGTCCAAACGGATCGCTACACAAAGCCGAACGGTCTGAGGCTTCGCCACGGAGGTGAACACCGCGGCCCAGGAAGCAGGACAATGGTTGCAGGCGCAGCGACGACGTCGAAGGTCCAAGTTGCAACCGAACAGAAAAGGCACCACGATGCATTCAGTGGGGCTCACTTTCATAAATCTACCGTAGGTTTCCGGTAGCTCGGAGACCTCACTACACCAACAGTTATGGGCAGGGGAGAAAGAATTCTCATTCGAACTTGCTGGGCTGCTTAGCAGGCACACCATACCCACGAACCACTTGGGAGTCGTGCCGTGCACGGACTTGCCGCTGAGGGGCGTCTTGCCGCTCTCAAACTATCCGAGAACTTGCAGACGGCAGACAACATCAGACTACTAGTTCCAGCAACTCTCCTGGCCACGAAACCCTCACAAACCCCAGGCTACATCGGTGAACCCCCGGCGTTTTCTCGTTTGGTTGCAGGGCGTGTTGAAAGTGGCATGGTCGACAGCCACCGACCAGCTGCCGCGGATCAACAAGTTCCGTGCACGGATTGGGCGGTGGGCCATGGCACCAGGAGACCAGCCGACCTAGCGATTGACGTTGGTCAAGCTGCATGGACCACCCGGATTTGACCCAGCCCCATGTGCTGGTGCAAACCAGCACCGGAAACTGAGGGAACGACCTATCAACAGAAAAATCTCCTGTTGATCCGCCCCACCATGCCCGACCACTTTGAGCACCAACCATTTTGTGTTGGGAGGTGGTAAGTTCTCTTAAAGAAGTCGCAGACGCTTTGGGGATTGCCGGTCGCCGGGTTTCTTTTCCTTGCACTTGTGCACCTGGAAACCCAGGAGCGAGAAAGCCTGGAAGAAAGAATATAGACCAAAACCAACTCAAATCCACTGGTTGGGTCTCGCAGGCAGCGAAATACAGGGATGCGTGACGTTCCCGGTAGTGGGTTTCCATTTGAACAGCTGGGCCCACGTGATGAAGCTGTGCGTTCTGGACCTGCCTAAAAAGTATGAGAAGATGTGCTTCTCTTCGCGCTTCGTGGTGCCAAGGTTGGTGGAGGGCAACATTACGACCCTTGGGCGGGCAAGGTTGGTCGGTCGTCGGGGACGGTCTGGCCGACTGAGATGAGAGGCGATCGCCGGTGGTGCGAAGCACGGTCTTTTGGGTTGGAAGAAGGCGCGGGGCATGGAGAGGCGCAGGACCTAAAGTGGTGTAGATGTAGAATGTAGGTGATGATGATGATGATGATGATGATGATCATAATTGCATTTGATTGTAGGCTATTTGGAGCCCAAGTTGCTTTATCCGTTTGTTCTTGTGTAACATGTGCGCACCGATCGAGACATGACATGCTGACATGTTTCAGGAGATGTTGCAAATTACCACCTCAATATTATTTAGTTCATTCTGAGGAATTTGCGAAGTAGGGAATCCCTACTTGGACCCTAAAATCCAGTAGCACCTACCCTTCCCCAGAACACCGTATGACCGCCGCATGCCTGCCCTTTGGAGGGCAGAAGCACCGATCCCCGGCCGTTTGTATCACGTGGACCTGTTGATGAATGAAACCCCTCCAATCTGGTCGGATGTTTAACGAGTGTCCCATGCAACCAGTCGATAGAAGATTATCACTCTTTTTCAGAAAGGCCTTTGCCAACCATCATCCACGGAAAAAAAGGGAATGGGATATGCACCCAATGTTCGTTCAAACCATCCCGTCGACATCACTTGGTATCTGAGATCCGATGTTCCAAGGAACCCCTCCGAGATGGTGACTCAGGCGCCTGTTCCCCCCCCGCGAGCGGCGCGCCGACGAGGTTTGGGCCGCGTTGCGCGGTCTGACCACGGCGACGGCGCCGGAGGTTTGCAGGTTTGGGGACGTGCCCAATGGCAGGGGGGGCATTTACAAGTTGGGGCAATGACAACTCCTCATCCTGGCCGAATCCACAGGCAACCTATATATATCTCCCGTCATCCCTAGCAGAAGGGTGTGGAAGACTATCTTATCTTGCTACCAAGAGCAGGGTGCACTGGCAGAGCGAGACGTTTCCCACCGTCTCCACAGGCGGCCTGTGCCGCCGACACCGCCACGAGCATCGCCGCTCAGACGTCGCTCTACGCCGCTGGGCAGCAGAAAATGTCCCAAGAGGGGACCATGAGGGACCCAGGATCCATCAACACATATATCAACACCGTCAATATCCGTCAATCATGTTCATGTCATATTCCATCGTCATCATCGTCATCGCTCATATGATGACTCATACGCAATAATATGCAATTGGGCAAGCTAAGTTTTCCATGACTCAGAGCATGATGGAACTCTGCCAAGAGATCTCATTCTTCGTTCGTTCTCACCGCTTGCAGGAGATACCCCCAAGGGTACCTCCTCCGGTTCCCATTTGCATGGGGTGCGTTGCGGCGAATCTCTTACCGCAGGCCGAGATTGTGCAGGCTGGAACGGACTGCGATGTCCTTTGGCACAAGAAGAGGGGGCCACCGGAATGGGGGGAGAGTGATGTTGGTGGCAACCACCGGAGGTTCTACTATGGCGTCGCCCTTGAGTGAGCCTCAATACAGAACTCAGCACTGTTGGATCAGATCAGATCACTCATACATCCACATTCCTTGTGAATGACCTTCCAGGAAGCAAAGAATTCAACCCCACAAGCCATCACAAGCCCACCAAACTTTGACCATAGACTGAACCTGGAGATGGCATGGCCTTGAGCTTTGAACCCGACATATCGCCTTGAAGAGTCTCGATTTGCTTTGTCCAACTGCCTGTAGTTCCCTCCAGTCTTCGTTTCTTCTAGGCCTAGGCAGCAGGACTCTGCAACCTACATGGATCCACCAGCAATCTATACATTCCTCTTGGCAAGCCCCAAATGGACTGGACGGAACAGTGAGCCTTGGAAGAAGTGCGCAAGGCAGCAAGTCTTCCAACTTGGTAGTCAGGTTTGCAGTGTGGAACTTTGTGGGTTCAATCAAGGAGCAAATTGGAAGGCCAAAAAAACACCTTTGTCACAAAGGAGGGGGTTCAGGGTTCACGTGTTTGAGGGTGTCACCTCATCTGAGGTCAGCAACAAGACCCTTTTCAACATCGAGGACTGTGAGTCGGGGCCTCGTTACCCTCGTGTTGGGCGCCATGTGGCCTGGGCGTGCGAGTTCGGACATCGGATCCGAAGCTTGGTAGGCCACAGGGGACAACCAAAAGGACTTGATAGAGACAGAATGAAGTCAACGTATCCCTACATACCAAGATTTAATAGAACCATGATGAATGATATAGTAGAGGTCCTCAGCAGGAATTGCAACAAACAAACAAGTGAGTAGTCTCAACGAACTGCGGCTCTTCTTGGGTTGTTGTTTGGAGCATAGGGTCAGAGCAGAAGTGGTTCACACCGCTTGCGATACAGTTACTGCGATACCCTTCCAATATATCCTTATTATATTGTTGGGAGGGACATGTTTCAACATGTTTCATCACCATTTGACATGGATGTGTTTTGCTTCGAACTTCCAGTTGGTGGATATGAAGATTCAATATTACACTGCCTGGAACTAACATGGAAGTGGAACATGTTCCCTTGCAGGACACGGTTCCTCTACCAACGCTTTTTCCTGGTTTCTCTTTCCGTCACGAAACCACGAGCTGCAGACCCATCACATCGTCTCGTCCACGCGGCAGCCGCTCAGGTCAAGTGCTCTCTCCGTGCAGACCGGTCACGTGGCCATCTGGGATGACAGGGACGACCGGTGCGGGTGCAAACACGTGCAACGGGTTGAGGTGCTTGGAAACCCTGCTGAGGCTGGTGAACGTCCATGTCCCACTACTGGGTTGACTGTGGGGGATGAGCAACCCCCCAGCTGTGGCATCGCGCCTGGCCCAGGTGTGAGCAAGGTGATCATGAAGGGCGCGAGGACGGATGATGTTTGGGCCAAGGTTGAGTTCCAGCACCGTGTATGACGTACGCTACTAGGAGCAAAGGGCATCGCTACTAGGAACAAGGACGCTACTAGGGCTCCTCTCCCTGAAATCATCACGGAAGTGGAGTTCACCATGTTTTTCGAATTCAGACATGGTTATCCAAGGGGGGCATGCCATCATCCAGTTCCGTGATTGTTTCCGGGAGGGTGCTCCTTCTAAGCAGCAGCCGCTGGAGAATGTTAAAATTCCCTGAAGTTGTTGGGCCCAACAGACCCCTATTGGACTTCAATCGGAGACCAACTCGATCACCTGAAGAACGACCTAAGTCACACTCATTAACTCATCACCCAACCTGTGCGTTGTTCACCACCTGACCTGAACTGCCCGCCCTGGAGGATGATGAACACATGCTATGGCCGTGATTGGTCCTGTGCCGAGAGCATGGCGGCCGCCACCCGGGACCTGCTGCAGGCCGGCGGAAAGGGGGGCATCAGAGAGGTTGGTGGGTTCAATTGGAGCGAGCCAAACGTCCGGAGCAAACGACAATACGTGGGAGCCGTCCGTGAATGCTGATGAAATGTTGAGGCATGTTCCTGAAATTCCAGTTGGCTGGTCAAAGAAGTTGGGTGAAAGGTTGAGACAGACATTCTGCGAAACGGAAAGTGGTGGAAGTAGAGTGGTTGCCACGATAAGGAAGCTGCTACATGCTCGAAGGGGCCGGCTGGGGCATTCTGCTTTGAATGACGATAAGTGGCTGGGGCGGAAAATCAACTCGATACCCATGTCGAATCCCCAGCATCATCATATCCCAATGTTGTAAGAAACCCAAGAGGTCCAGCATCACCCATTGACTGGATAAAAAAACCCCGCAGGTGGTCAACACCACTCCCCATTCAGTCAAGCTTGTCGGAGGCCTACACCGCCACCATCGTCTTGAAAGACTCCTGCTCCATGGCTCCCAAAGACCAGTGTTTCACCACGGGCGCCCCGCCTTTCGTTCGCAGAAGCGTGCGCGGCAAAGCGCGGCGAAGCGCGGCGAGCGGTGACCCGGTGCCTTTCAGGCCAGTCCAGCGACCCCATCGCACTGGCTGTTTGTGAGTCGGAGGCCGCGGAGTGTGCCACTCCCGCGCGGTTTGTGGACACCCCGGGCGGGAGAATCGATCATGAAAGGAGAAGAGGCCTTAAAGAGGTTGTGGTACAAACCGTAAACGTTGCAAATGGTCAGTCTTTCATGCAGTTGCTAGCAGTTCCTTTCACATGCAGATATAGTCATGCTGTCCCCAGTACTTGTGCCTGCCATGCTTCTGACCCCACACTTCAGGACGCCGCACTTACAGGAACTGAATCTTCTCATACCGCCTCCAGGCCTTCACCCTTTGCTCCAAGCTGGGGGTGGCTGCCGGCTACATGTGCCGTGCTTAGAACCCCAAACCAAACGACATCGGACCGTTGCGGGGAACGTTTTGGCGCCCCATGCTCGGTGACGTCGGTGACACCGAAGAGAACCGGCGGCCGAGGCACAAGTCGGGCGAGGTGTGCGGCTCTTCCTGCGCGTTGGCGAAGCCGCAGAAGCCGGCGCCAATGCCATGAGCGAGAAGTTGAGAGAAGCGGGCCAGGGACAGGCTCCTAAGTGAGGAGGACTGTAATGAAACGACACCGTATGCAGTGCTTTGCAAGATTAGCACCTGCACACACAAATAGTGAAACAATAGTTGAACTTCAGCAAATAGAATGAAGCAGTGCTCTAATTGAGGATGTTGCATTTTCCAACAAAATTGCAGGTCCAGATCATGTTAGAAGATTTGCGCAGACTCCACTCCTAAAGAGAGTCCATCATTTCAAGCAAAAAAAGGAATCAATCATCGTAAAATTATCTATATACTACTCATTATTCAATAGGACTGACAAAGCAAGAAAAGCCTGTTGGAAATTGCTCTGGCCAGTAGTGCAAGGCTTTACCCTACCTTTTGGGAGGCCACTAGTTCGAAACCGCCGAGAACACAGCGACCAACGACCGACGTTGAGATCGCCTGGTGTCATGTGACCGGAGAGGCTCTTCCCAAGCGCATCAGCGAGACTGTGAGGATCAGTTCGGAGGGTTCGGACGGTCTTTTGTTTGATCTTTCTGCTTTCATATTGCGAAAGCGGGTGTTTTGCCCCGTCCTATATGTTGAAATTTATGTTGATACGCCTCATCTAGTGAATGATCTTCGTCCAGTGCTTTTGACCACTCTCCGGTGCAATGACCTTGTTTCCCACCACTGACCTCGGATGGGCTGCCGTTTTGATCCTTTTGTTGACGCTCGACGCAGCGTGCGGAAAAATGGACCATGGCGTGCGCAAAGGGCCCTCGTTCCCGCCCAAGGGTTGGTGGATGATGCCGATGTGGGCGATTCCAGTGACGTCCGAAGAGGTCTAAGCTCTCTCTCCAAACAATAGATGGTAAGAGAGGGCCCCTATGGGCCGACCATGTGTCCAAACTCCTCTAAATTACAAGCAAGGGGTCATGTGTCTAATTTCATGTGTTTCTTTGCATGGAGGGGGTATACTCACCATACTTGGAACTCTTGTGGAGGTGTTCGTTGGAGTTTGGATCGGTCCTCAAGACTGAAAGAGCTCGGCACACCCCGACCTTCCATCATGTCGGCTCACCCCAGACAGCACAGCACCATCTATCAACAAATCGATCATCATCAACTGTTCTTTATATCCCTTTTGGTCAGAATCCATCACATATCCATCACCTTTGTGCCTGGGAATCCTGGGAATGGGAGCATGACCACCAGAGCTCAAAGCATGAGTGAACGCAGCGTCACCTGGAGCGTCGGAGCTCAGCACCTCGGGCTTCAGGTGACGCTTCGAGCCGGGCAGCGCCTTGGTGGAGCACCGATTGGCGCCACTCCTGGATCGACAAGAAAAGGTCCTGACCATCCGAAGGTCCATGGTGCCGGAATCAGAATGAGAACTGGATGTTTTCAGAATCCGGTTAAGTTGGAATTTCGCCACGTGTGGAACAGCCGTGATTCATTGGGGGGGTTGGCGGGGTCAGCTGCCCAAGGAGCTCTCCTTGTTACGAGCGCGCTTCGATCTGCGCCACTCGGCACGGTGGGAGCGAGGTGTTGGGGAGAAGCTCGCTGCTGTTTCACAGATTGTTCTGGCTTGTTGGAGCTTCGAGTAGGCGCCTTTACTGTGATACAGCCGTCCACATCCATCCACCGACCCATCCAATCAACTGACTTCGGATCATGTGACGGCTAAAGGCCGCGGTGCAACACGTCCTGCTAAAGGCCACATCCTGAGTCTTCCGGACGCAGCTCCACGGTCCGGTGACACACCCTCCCAGGTTTGGACGCGGAGCGCGTGCGAACGCAAGCGCAGAGCGAAGAGCCACTTTTCTGCACTGCACTGCATGTTCGACGCAAGAGCTGCAGAGCTGGGAGCTGAACAGTTTGTTTGGGAATCCACCCGGATTGGCTGAACAAATACAGAACTTAGGGTGGCACCGTATGGCACTCCATGTTTGAGCCGTGATTCACGAGACTGAACTGAAAAGTCTGATGAAACGTCCAATTCTGTGCCTTGCTGGCTTTCCATGTGAAGCTCAGACAACCGCTGTGCCATAAGTCTCAAGGCAGTTGCAGTCCAGCTTCAACCACCAACCCTTCCTGATCCTTTCAAACCACATTTGCTCAAGTCGTGCAACCCGGCACCACAACACACAATCCTGTCCCGCCGTGCCATTCACAACGAAACGCGGACTCGTCACGCGTCAGGCTTCAGACGGCCTGTGAGGCGGCCATGAAGGTGGAACGGGTGAACGTGACGAGCTGAGAGATGTGGATGACAAACATCCCGTGTTGATACAAAAGTATACAAAAGTCGTGATACCAGAAATTGATAAGAAAAGGGTGCAGTGCCCCAATGCCAGAAAAGCTTGTGGACACTGCTTCTATTGATTTTGGGTGAGCCAAAGGATTCGTCCACCCAACCATACCCAACCCTCAAAAACAATGGACAGAAACTAGTAACAAAGGGCATTGCTACTAGGAACCAGGACGCTACGTTCGGGGCTCCTGGCATCGCTACGAACGGAGCAAGAAGCTATACTATAGGAGCAAGGGCATCACCGACCGACCCAATCTCCACGAACGCACGAGGCCAGGACACAGTTGGCCGCCATGTGTGGACCTCAACTGCTCAACGGTGGTGTGTAATATCAGGCCTATCAGGCCTGTCAGACTGAAATCACTCGCCCAACATTAACTACAGTAACTCTTCATCACTGATTTCAGCGGATGAGACGGATTAGACCACTTTTATCCAAGACATCGGCCAAAAGACTTTTGCAAAGCGGAGCGGAGTCAAGGCGCCAGGAGCTGGCACAGGAGCTAGCAGCCGCGCGGGCCAGCGAGGCGGTCGGTTGCTTCAGAAGTGTTCAGAAAAGACAGGAAAGAAGAGCAGACGGTTTGGACAGGTGACTCTTCTTCAAGCACATTGAGTCGTTTTTGGTAGATGTGGGTGCCCTCCTGGAAGAAGATCGGAAATCCGAATCAACTGGAGGAGCCAACCAGGTTCAGGTGCAGGTAGTTACTTTTTTGCTTGGGAATTGTGGAAGTCTTGGTTAACCTAAGTTCCAATACGGCCATATGATTTTCCACGTTCATGGTGGATGTTCCGCGACGAGCCGGCGATGCGAACGGAAGCTCCTGTTTCGGTGCGAGGCCAGCGCGCAGCAGCGGTGGTCAGCTCCTCAGTGGTAGTGTATGGTAACCGTCGGATGTCATTCACAAAAGAGATATTATAAAAGGTTTGGAGAGTCAATGGCGGAAGCAACTCCACCAGCCCCTCCCCCTGAGAGACCCATTGTTTGTGTTTTGTCACCAAATTCACCGTTTTCTCAACCTGCGAAAGACTAACATGAATGACTTCCGAATGCCGTGCGAAAGCCGTGCGAAAGCCACACACATCGCGTCGAATCGGGGTGACTCGGCGACTCGGCTCAGCCGACTCAAGGAGTTCGGAGCTGCGGCAGCAGCAAGAGACAGCAGCCCACGAAGTGGTGCGGGCGCTGAAGGGGAGGGGAAAAACATGGAAGTTCTGGGGAGTTCTGGGGAGTTGCTTGTTGGTGTGTTGCTTGTTGTGATTTTATGTTGATGTTCAACGTTTGTTCCTTACCTTTGAGGTTTTGCTGGGGTCTTGTTATGCGTGTTTTAGGGTCATAACTTTCACTTCATTGTTTGGATTGAAAGAAGAGGATAATCGTTGAGGTGGTCAGAGTTTCTATGTGTAGGTTCAGGTTCAAATTCTACCAAGCTGTTCTTCAATGAGAGGAAAGGCGCAAGAGACTTTGAGAGATTGAGGAACTTGGCAAATGGAAGAAACGAACACGAAGGACTACACAAGATAGATAGAGTGATAAAGAAACTGGAAGAGGAGGAAAAGGAAAAAGGAAAACCAACCAGAACCCGAAATCTAAACAAGACAGCAAAATTACTTAAAGCAAAAAAAACTATATATATATATAGTAAGAGAAAATGCGTAGCGTAAAAATTGCGGGTTTGAGTTCAGTTTCTGCTCCTTGTCCAGCGATCAAGTTCTGCTGTTGAACAATATTCTGATGCTGGTTTCTCAATACTTCGATCAACGCTTCTTGTGTCAATCCCTGTCCTCCGGTAGGACTCGCAGGCATCTGAGGTGAGTTGAAATCATCTTGAAACGTTCTCCCCGTTGGGGTAGGGCTGTTCGGTACCGGTATCCCTGCAGCAGCATTCTCTGCTGGATCTGGTGGTGGAGATCTTTCTCGACCTGTGTACTCTTCCATACTCACTGGTCGCCTCCTCGTTGGCGATGCTGTCCGTCGCTCGGGTTATATGCTGACTTTGGAAGTGATAGTGAGGATGAAGAGTGGGAAAGAAAGCAAATAGAAACAAAAGATGAAGAGATTAGAGAATTCGTTAGATGTCATCCTATGTCTTTACCTGATGATGAGGACGGCGATGCCTTTTGGCACAAAGTGATTGATAGGATGAAAGAAAAGGACGGAGCAAATGGTATGTTAATCTTTTCGTTCGTGAGGTTTGACATTATGAAAAAACATGTATGAAAACCTCACGGACAAAAAAGTCATCATTGATTGTGGCCAGGAACTCAACCGTGATGCTGAATTCAATGCTATGATATAAACCTAACTCTTCTGTCAATAGCGATGGATGAACTAAACGATACAAACAAACCGTGCACAACACAAATGAGGGTCATTGAACACTGGTGGGATGGAATAGGAAAATGGAAAGCATAAGCACGACTAATTCATTCTATGTTTATTTAAACATATTATGAACTAATCCTTTAAACCCAAACCCTCACAACGAGAGAACCCCCTTAAAAACATTTAGAGCCATAACCTCTTAAACTTATAGAGATACAATGACTGACAAAAAGCCATGTTCCAAGTGTAAGGTCTTTCAACCACTCAACTATTTCAAAAATGAATGTAAGCAATGTAAATTATGTCTGGAAGCAAAGCAACGATACAGGGAGAAAAACTAAGATCAATTAAGAGAGTATGCCAGACAATACTACTATCGTAAACATGAACAAACATTAGTATGTCCGGTGTGCGAAAGCATCATAAACACATATCAAGTCAAACCACATGAGGAAAGCATCAAACATCAAAACAAAGTAAAAGGAAAAGAACAGCCAAAAGTTATAAGAAATGGAGAGGATGACGAAACTGGCATTAAGGCCAAAAAAAAACAAAACACCACAAAACAAAACACAACAACCTAAACAATCATCCACCTCGTTGAATTATAGCAATGATAGTGAAAGTTATGACCCTAAACCACGCATAGCAAGACCTCAGAAAAACGACAAAGGCTCAACACAAATTTTCTAGAGCCAAGAAAAATCAACGAGGTGGTTGATGAACAAGAACTCCCCAGAACCCCCCCATTTTACCATTTTTTACGGGGTGGTTGAAGAGGACACTATAGTTGGGATGACTCATTAGACCAAGTTTGAGGCAAAAAAGACTCTCAAAAAGCAGACCTCCACAAAACGTAATCCACACCATTCTCCTATATAGCATCTCCCATTCTAAAAATGAGGGATATGGCCCGCTCCAGACAATTCCTTTGATGGCTCCCAGACCCATAACTCTATCCCGATCTCACCCAGGCCATGCTGCGCTCCTCGCTCCACGAGATGACGCTCGAAGCGAAGCAAGCGCAACGTGATGCGGTGGGGCGACCCGGACCAACACCGGTGGACCATGAACGCCGATAGACCGTGAGAGGTTTTGATTCAGAGCCGCTTAGAGCCGCGTGGGCCCTCCGATACCCATTAACAAGAAGCTACTAGTAACAAGTGCATCGCTTCTAGTAACAAGTGCCTTACTAGTAGTAACAAGAAGCTAGCATTTACAATTCTAATTAAATTCTTCTTGTTACCGTACTTACTTGTCGTCGTCGTCGCGGGGCGCTGCTCCGAGGCCTCTGCCAAGGACGCAGCGGCCAGCAGCGCCCAAAGCGCGCGCGAGGGGCTGCAGCGTGCCATGGCATCACACAGGGCTGAGAACTAGGAGCAGACTGGGGCAGGGGGAATGGTCACAGAATGTCACAGGAAGGCGTGGTTGAATATGAAGGCTGCTTGGCACACGCGGGTCAGGAGGGCGCTCACAGAATGAACCACATCATCAAGAAGGTCCTAAAGGTCCCAAAAGTGTTGTAATTGCCCTGGATGATCTCAGCGCGACAACTTCTGGAGGTCTGCGTAGTTCCAGCCCCTCCACCTCCTTCCCCTGCGACACCCTCCAATCACGGCGCGGCGGGCGCGATCCCAACGTTGGGACTGCAACGGCGGGACTATCTAGGACGGCAATCTTTCGGGGTAAGACGGGTTAGACTCCATCAGCTAACTGCCTGGGCTGGGTCGGCAACTGCTGTGATATTGGGAATAGGAGGACATGGCAATCAGCATGGTGAGAAGACGAAAAAGAACTCATGACCAGTCAAAATAGCATTCATGACCCATCCCCATGCACTTAAGTTTCCTGGTGAGTGGGAATCGCATGCCGGGCACCTGAGGCGAAGTCGAAGCAGCCGGAGCCACAGGTGCTGTGCATGTGTGTGTGTGTGTGGATGGTACTGACTTTGGTGGAAGAAACCATCGACCCAGTGCAGTCCTTTCAAAGCTTAAAACACACACACACACACACTCCGCCGGTGTGTTTTTGTTGTATGTCTTTGCGGTCTTTTGGTCGGAAGACCATCCAAAAACATCCCAAAACCATCACGAACCACTTGGTTCACCAAACCACGTGGTTCACTCCATCGTGGTTCACCCGGTCTCAGCTCCCCAAGGTGAGGCTGGCGGAGGCCTTGCGCCGCGACGAACAGGTGGCCGAGGTCGCTGCCGGTGGGGTCGGTGTGACCTGACCGAACGCAGAGGAACCTGAGCGCATGAACCTGCAATGGAATCAGGAAAGGGGGAAGCGGTTGGTACACGAACTGGAAGTATATGTGACTCACATCGTGTGTGAGGTATTATATATATGCGTGTGAGGTATCGGAAAATATCATATGATCATGCCATATCATGCCACTGCAACTTCCAGAGTCAGCGTACAACCTGCAACTGGCATAGATGTTTCCATGCTACACACGAATATCGACTAAAGGAGGTCAAATTCTACTGTGTGTGCTGGTGAGTTTACAATAACTCAACAACTGCGTGGGTCCAAACAACAGGCTTTCCTTCTCGGCCAGTGGGAAAGTCAGGTCGAAAAGTCATGGGACAGCTCAGAGATCAATCAGACAATGCAACTGGTTTATGCTTCTTACCCAGTTGTCCAACATTGTCCAACACATCTCACTCCCCCTGCCTTTTGTGTTGAGATGCGAAGCTTTGTTGCCTTCAAAATGGACATGTCCCAGTCAAACCTTTGCGCTTGCGTGCAGGTCCTGTCACGCTTGGAGGGCGAACACTTCCGCCTCTCAGTGGAGGTGGCGCAGGAGGCCAAAGCGAAACCGGCCGAGACTAAAGGCGTTGAAGAAGCAATCACCTGTGAGGTGACCAAATGGAAGAGAAGCACTGGGGACTGGGGCACGTTTGGCATGACACTCATCAGCCAACTGTACAATAGACTGAATTGCCTTTTCTTTTCCTCAAAAGAAGGGTCCAGCCCCGTTCTTACAGGCACGCTTGCGTGCTGAAGCCGAAGAAGAAGCTCTGGAGCTACAACAGAAGCTGCATGGCCCGGTGCCGAGGGAAGAGCGCGACCCGAAGCCGAACTGCCATCGGCCAAACTAGGTCCATTTGGAACCCTTTGCTGCCTGCCTTCTTTGTTGAAGTATACATACTCCCCCCAAACAACATTGGATGAGCCTGGTCTTCTTTGGCTTCACTTCCGCAGGAACGTGTTTCTTTTTGATGGCCCTGTCGGTTCTCACGGCCCTGTCGTAATCTCTAAACTCCCAGCCTCACTCACGCATCATGACGCGTACATCGCACTGTGAGACCACGTTTAAAAAAACCGTCGGAAAAACACTACAAACCGGTGGTCGCCACTGAGGTTTGCGTTCATTGCTGGTGGGGGACCTCACAGAGCCATGCACGTCCGCAAACCGTGCTACCGGTAGCACGGTAGCACGGCAAGCCGCCGGCAAGCCTACAATGATTGATGGTTCTCAATAGCGTCACCAAGCCTTTGTCAACAACAAGTTGGGGTGTGTTTGTAGACACACGTGAAACACCGAAACACCAATGTTCTACGTTTGGATATGGATTTGGTCACCGACCCATTCAACCCGAAACTTGAACCATGTTGAACCTATGATATACCTAGCTGGGCCAGGTGCGGCCTCCGAATTGGCCAACCCTCCGGACTGCCTCAAGTGCTGTACCTGCTTGAAGGCGGGTCAATCCGGGCTCCAACTGATCCCTGCTTGTCATGCATGCATCGTGCCAAAGCCCTTGTTTGTTTAAGGAGAGAAGGGCAGAGGAGGTTGCGGTGGAACAGGAGAAGCATGGCGAAGCGTGGGAACAGCTTGAGCCGCTGTGGGCTATGGCTACAGTAATCAGATCCAGGAAAAATTGTTTTGTTATATATGTCTTCTCCTTTTGCCAAAGAGCTTCGGGGGTTGCAGGGGTTATTGTGGCAAGATATGGAAAGATGCTAACTGTTTGACTCTTCGCAGGAGGGAAAATATATTAGGTGGGCCATGATTGGGCCATGATTTACATTTAGCCACTGCTGCCAAAGCCCGGAACCACCGGGCGGACCGCAGGAGCGCTCCCTGCCTGAAGAGGATGAGCGCGTCGTGCAAGCTGCGGTGCAGACCGAGGATGCCACGGTCCAAGGCAAATGGGCTCGGGCGGAGTGGAGGTGGATCCAACTGGCTGAAAGGAATATGGGTATATATTGTTTCTAATAGCTTCTTGTTTCTAATGTGAACGGTTCAATAGAGGGGAGGACAGGTCACAAGATGTCACAAGTGCTGTTTTTGCCGTTCTGAACGCATATGTTTGGCCTTGTTTCTCCTACGATCTCGAACCAGGCAGGATCTTGACCACCAGAGTTGTACTTCCTGGAATGGCCGGGTATTGCTGCTGGTTTGGAATGTGTTGTCCATGATGTTCATTTCCCAGACGATCCATTGGATGCATGTTGGTGGTGAATGTAGGTCATATTCATTTGGGAGACTCTCTTTGTAGTAGATGTCCAAAAGACATAATAGCTTCTTGTTACTACTAGTAAGGCACTTGTTCCTAGTAGCGTGGCACTTGTTTCTACTAGCTTCTTGTCCAAAAGACATCTTGGGGCTTGTGATCTACTCTGAAACCACTGCACGTCACCCACCAGTTCTGACCAGGCGTCGACTGCGATGAGGCCCAGCGTGAGGGCTGGGCCCTGCGGCTGAACGACCTGGAGACCCAACTGATCCTCGCGCGGAAAGGGGAAGGAGGACGGTCTGATGATGAGATCCCTTTGAGGGGCTAGGGTTCTCATCATTTGTCACGCCCGCTAAGTGGTGGAATACCAAACCCGTGCCGATCCACTCCACCTTTGAACGTGACCATGTCGAATCTGTACGCTGTACGGGGATATCCTGGGATGCAATTCTTACTAGAGCCCCTTAGTCTCACTGAATCGGGGTGATGTTTTCGGCATGTTTCGATACATGATGTTTCTGGTTTGGTGATGTTTTGGGGGCCGCATTCCGACTCACGACCCGCCCAAATTGGAAGCGGACGCGTCTCGTTTGGCGGAGCCTGAGTCGGACGGAGAGATTTCGGTCGAAGATTGGTCAGGAAGAGGGACTGTGGTCGGCCTTCGGGCCTTGCGATGCCTGCAGGGTAGGAATGATGAGCCTTTATGGGGTCTATCCTAATACCTGCAACAGTCGGTGAACAATTACAACATTTTACAGGGAGGCCTGCAACCTAACCATCATCGTCCACTGTCACTGTCCACTGTCACTGTCAAAGTCTTTATTTAAATGTGTTTATCCTCCACTAGGCGGGCGCAACCTTACGATTTGTTCCACAAGTTAGTGTGTGATTGGTGCAAACACGATGATAAATTCACAAAAGACAGGACTGGTGACTAGTTGCAGACTGTCGGTTCTTTTGGCCCTCAAAAACCGTATATCCATTTGGAGATTCGGTCTCACGAGCCGTGTATAGCCGTGTCACAGTACCGCATTCTGCACCGCGCCGTATTCTCTCAGCGATTCTTGGTATTTCTCGTCCTTGGGCCGTTGGGCACCGCTGGAGCCGACAACCATGGAGGCGGCCCTCCGCAACATGTCACTCGACCTTGTGAGAGACGAGGGGAGGGTAGGGTAGGCAGTTTGTTCCATGTTGTTGCAGCCTCTTGGTTGGACTGGACCAGGAAGAAATCTAGAGAATACAAGATATGAGTTGATGCGTATTCACGAAAGCTAGCTGTAGCTAGCTGGAGTCTGTCTTGCTTTAGCAAGGAGGGTGGGAGCCCAGGACTTGAGTGCTATTACCTGATACATCAGGACTACACCCCCCCCCCCCTCGCGGGGTTCAACTCCACCCTTCTCCTCCTCGGTACCTGCTGCTGCTGCTTGGTCGCTGCTGCTGCTGCTGCTGCTGCTTGCTGCTTGCATGCTTGGTGCTGCTGGATGCTCTTGGCTGCTTGCTGGTTGCTGCTGCTTGCTGCTTGCATGGCTGCCTGCTGCTTGTTGTCTGCTCCGTTTTGCTGCTGTTGCTGTTTGGGGTTGTTGGCTGCTGTTGGTGCTGAAGAAAGCCTATTCGTTAGAATCGAGAGTAGTTGCATTCCCTTTGAGTCGTGAAACGATGCTAATTTCATTATATCCTTAAGAAGCTTGTGTAGGCATGTACCCACCCCACAACCCAAGAGTACAAATCAGAATGCACTATCCGCTATCCATGCAGATCAAAAGATGATACTTACTTCACACATGAATGACAGAACCCAGTAAGATGTTTGAACGGGCTGTTTGCTTCACTCATGGTAGTCCGCGTTCCATGTTCGAGCGACAGGGAGCATGCACAAGCATTGCGACGGAGTCTTCGGTCGCTGACACATGTTCGCATACAACCCCTAGATGTCAATCATGCACACCGCTCCTGGCTGCATCGTCGGCATCTATTCGTGAAAAAAACATATATATCAGCTATATCTGTCTTTCCACGTCGCCCTTCTACAATTACTCAGGCAGCACCTACATGTGCTATTGTTCGAGACCAAATGTTCCGGCACGAAAGACTCTAAGGAAAGCTCACGCTTTCCCTGCTGCTGCTTGGTAGCTGGTGGTGCTGCTTGGTAGCTGCTGCTGCTGCTGCTGCTGCTTGGTTGCTGCTGCTTGGTTAGCTGCTGCTTGGTAGCTGCTGCTGCTGCTTGGTAGCTGGTGGTGCTGCTTGGTAGCTGCTGCTTGGTAGCTGCTGCTGCTGCTTGGTAGCTGGTGGTGCTGCTTGGTAGCTGCTGCTTGGTAGCTGCTGCTTGGTAGCTGCTGCTGCTGCTGCTTGGTAGCTGGTGGTGCTGCTGCTGCTGCTTGGTAGCTGCTGTTGATGCTGCTGCTGCTTGGTAGCTGCTGTTGATGCTGCTGCTGCTTGGTAGCTGCTGCTGCTGCTGCTGCTTGGTAGCTGCTGTTGATGCTGCTGCTTGGTAGCTGCTGCTGCTGCTGCTGCTTGGTAGCTGCTGTTGATGCTGCTGCTCCTTGGTAGCTGCTGCTGCTGCTGCTGCTGCTGCTTGGTAGCTGCTGTTGATGCTGCTGCTGTTTGGTAGCTGCTGCTGTTGCTGCTGCTGCTGCTTGGCTGCTGCTGCTGCTTGGCTGCTTTGGCTGCTTTGGCTGCTGCTGCTGCTGCTGCTTGGCTGCTTGGCTGCTTGGCTGCTGCTGCTGCTTGGTAGCTGCTGCTGCTTGGCTGCTGCTGCTTTGTTTCTGCTGCTGCTGCTGCTGCTTGGCTGCTGCTGCTTTGCTGCTGCTGCTTTGTTTCTGCTGCTGCTGCTGCTGCTTTGTTTCTGCTGCTGCTGGGCTGCTGCTGCTTGGCTG